GTCCTTGCCGAACAGCAATCCCTTTCGCCATCCGAGAGAGCACTTTACGAGGTCGACTACATTTCGCTCGCCGATCCTGACACCCTTGACGAGCTGGAAATCGTCGATCCCGCTAAGGGCGCGGTTCTGAGTACCGCATTCAAGATGGCACCGCTGGAAGAGACTAAGCCAGGCGAAGACTGTGGATTGGGCGATGGCAAAGTCCCTGTGCGATTGATTGACAATCTCATTTTGGAGCCTCGTGCTTGATACCATATCGAACACTCAGTAAAAAACATCTAACACTTTAGCATAGCACGGTTAGCAAGCAAACCACTTACATACATTTCTCAAAAGCAAGATAGACTTCAAACTATTCAAATATATCTCGCTTTGCAGTTCAATGTAAACAAAGTAACTAGGGCAAATCCTTAGGGTGGAGAAAATTTGCCTGGGAGCCTGGAAGTCTTGGCGCCGAAAAAAAGTCTCGAAAGCTTTTGGATCGCCGGTCCAACAAAAACCTCCACAACTCCCCTCCATTTTTACCGGGGATCACCATCTTTCAAAATGGCCGACGATGGAATGCTTATGAACTTTAGCATTGGTGACACTGTCATCAAGCCTGAAGCCAAGTTCAAAGGAGGGACATGGCGAGACCGACTGACCGCAAAGAAGCGCTCAGCCCACCGAGGCTCCGAGAAGGAAGGAGATGGAGATGCAGCTGCGCGCAATGCAGCTTCCAAGAACCCGAATCAGATCCAACTCGGTACACGGCCTGTGAAAAGACAAAAGACCGAAGACTCGTTCAATCGTCCTAGCGCCCCGCGCGCTGGTGGTGATCGACGACCACAGCATCCACGAGACCCCACTCAGTTCGTTTCTTCGCTCTTTAGTAGCAACCCCGAAGCGCGCAATGCCCAAGAGCCCAAGGAGGAGAGAGAGGCAGAAGATGCGAAACCGACGAATGCGCCGATGATCGACGGACTAGATACCTTCACAAATCTGGGCCTATCTCCCAATCTCGCGGCGCATCTGCTCACAAAGCTAGAGCTCAAGGCGCCGACGGCTATTCAGACAAGCTCAATTACACAATTGCTAAAGGAGGAAACCGATGCTTTCATCCAGGCCGAAACTGGTTCCGGAAAGACTCTGGCTTATCTTTTGCCGCTGGTGCAACGGATTATAGATCTCTCAAAAGCGAAGAACGAACATACCGATACCCAAGTCCACCGAGACAGTGGACTGTTTGCTATTATTTTGGCACCCACCCGTGAACTGTGCAAGCAGATCTCCGTCGTGTTGGAGAATATTCTGCGCTGCGCGAACTGGCTTGTGTGTGGAACAGTAATTGGTGGAGAGAAGAAAAAGTCAGAGAAGGCACGGTTGAGAAAAGGATTAAACATTCTCGTCGCGACACCTGGTCGATTGGCGGATCATCTCGACAATACGGAAGCGTTGGATGTCAGCAATGTGCGGTGGCTCGTGCTTGACGAGGGTGATCGCTTGATGGACATGGGCTTCGAGGAGGAATTGCAAGGCATTGTTAAGAAACTTGACGCCAGACAACGGCCGAGCCGCGTTCCCGGTGTTCCTACACGCAGAACGACAATTCTGTGTTCCGCTACACTGAAGATGAATGTCCAAAAGCTGGGAGAAATCAGTTTGAAGGATGCGGTACACATCAAGGCCGACCCGAACGAAGAAGATGATGATAAGTCAAATAAGGACGAGGAAGAGTCATTCCGCGTCCCTGCCCAGCTCAAGCAATCGTACGCGATTGTCCCAGCTAAGCTACGTCTGGTCTCATTAACAGCCTACTTGAAGAGGACATTCATGCGCAAGGGATCAGTGATGAAGGCGATTGTTTTCATGTCTTGCGCCGATGTTGTGGATTTCCATTTCGAGCTATTCTCAAGGAACCAAGACCGCGATCAACAAAGGAAGAGCGACAAAGAAGAAAAGGACGGAAAAGACGAAAAGGATGAGAAGGACGAAGAAAAGGAAAAACTATCACCCCATGGCACCATTGCTCCCGGTAGAGCCTTTTCGACCCCGATGAATCCGGTCCTCTTGCACCGACTACACGGCTCGCTTCCCCAGGCTGTTCGAACAGCTACCCTTGGCTCTTTCTCTCGCAGTACTGAGGCTTGTGTCATGATCTGTACCGATGTGGCTTCGCGTGGTCTGGATATGCCCAACGTCGACTTGGTTGTCGAATATGACCCGGCCTTCAGCTCTGATGATCACACTCATCGTATTGGTCGTACTGCTCGTGTAGGACGAGACGGCCGTGCCCTCATCTTCCTCCAGCCTGGCTGCGAGGAGAACTATGTCGAAGTCCTAAAGCGGGGCTACCGCGATGGAGGCAAGGCGCTCACCCGCACTGATGCAAACGAGATTCTCAAGCGTGGCTTTGGCGGCAACGATAACAAAAAGAACTGGGAGGAGAAGACAACCGATTGGCAAATGGATGTGGAGCGTTGGGCACTCGATAACCCGATCTATTTGGAAATGGCTCGACGGGCGTACCAATCTCATGTCCGAGCCTACGCGACCCACACCTCAGCTGAACGGAGCATGTTCGACATTAAGGAACTCCACTTGGGTCATCTTGCGAAGGCCTTCGCCCTGCGCGATCGACCTGGTAAAATCAACGTCCCTGGTCTGCGGCCTGGACAAGAAGACACAAAGAAGGACTTCAAGGCAGCACGAAATGGTGCTGGAGGCAATAAGAGAAAGGCCGATGATCCTCCTCCATCTTCCACAAATGTTACGGACGAGGCTGCTCGCAAGATGAGAGCCAAGATGAGGGAGCATATGTCCGGGGCCAACGAGTTCAACTTGGCTTGATCTTTTGCTCTGTGTACTCCTTCAAAAAAGCATGGTCGCATGGTTGTTTTGTAGCATTAGCATTTATCTCAGTAGATATCCCATAATGAAATCTTCCCGTCCTTGGACCCAGCCGCTAGCCAATGAGTTTGTTGTACTTTTTGATTCCGTTGTTGTTGCACTGTTGCGAGAGAGTAGTCGCGTCTGTCGACAGCCGTCTGTCCTGTTGGGCCCTGATCTGCATCTTGGGGTTTTTGTTTTGGAGACTCAGGCGATGAAGACACCAACGAAGAGGCGTTTTCGGTGTCCCCAAACGCTACAGAATAACAACCATCCTTATGCCACTTCAGCACAGCCAGCTCTTTCATGGTTTTGCATGAGTATACCCGGACCCTGCTGTCCCAACCGGCAGTAGCAAATACCTTCCCGTCTGATCTGATCCGTAGACCCTGCTGGCCTGAATGCTTTGTGTTGACAATCTTCAGGGGTGTCTCTTCTTTGTAGCCAGCGGTCGGTATATAACCCGCAGACCCTATGCTGGGGATGGGATGCTTGATGACCAGAGCATCCGCAGAAGAAGAGATGAAGTATCCATGGGAAGGGGCGACATCTAAGGAAAGTACCGGCTGAGAATGAGGGCGGCCAGCATACAGCTTGTCCCATTTCAAAGGGTTGTTGCTTATATACTCACGCTCAAAGCTGGCCGATTTGAGAGCTCCACGATGAACGAAGACTATCACATGTCCATCTTCATATGCAGAGGCGATGTAGAGATCTCCAGAAGGTGATACAAAGAGATTTACAGCCATCAGCATTCCAGTTTTGATCGATTTATCGGAAGGAATGGTGCTGATCCTGCGTTCAGATGGTAGATGGAAGATATCGACTCCACCAGAGTCCAATGCATTAGGTACTGCAAAGAGGGTATTCTCTGGCTTACCAGCTGGGGATGGAACTCCGGGAAGCCCGTCCGAATTCACAAACGCCATTGAGAACGCACAGAAATTGAGCGCATTCACGGGCAAGGAATGGAGTAACCACGGCTGGATTTTGCTTCCTGTCTGTGTGGACTCGGCCGCATCCACTGGAAGCGTCTTATCGAGGAAAGATTCATCCTCTGGTCTAAGCTTCCACACACATAGTTTGTGGTCGCGGCCATGTCTATTGCAAATATAAGTAAGATAGTCGAAAGGGTGGAGGAATCATCATACGTGTAAATTTCAGTGACACCTTCGACAACGTTATAGCCTCTTGCTTCCAAAATGGCTCCCTCATGGGCCTTCCATGCCGTCACAGGGCGTTTAGTGACTAGGTCCCAAACAACGATCCAGCCATTAGCGTCGCCGGATACAAGCCGTAAATTCTGGCTGTAGATATGCAGGGCATGGATTGGAGAAGCATGTCCACGAAGAATATATATTGGGGTAGCCTGCGATTGAGCCTGTGCTGATTTGTTGTCCATTCCAACTGCCTGACTTGTGTTTGTTGCTTGTTGATGTCTTCCATCTTGTTCGGCAGAGGTGCCCTGTAGAATTGCCTGCCTACACCGCCACACTTCAGCCTCACCTATAGTAATGATCTATTCTGGGCCTATTCTTATGTCCTTGTGATTTGGATGGATGTCACTAATAGAACATAAAGCAAGAAGCGTTCGAAATTCAAAATACAATGACGCAAAAAACGAGCTAGTTGTGAGTCTTGAAATCGTGGCCTAAGGCCACCAACACCATGCTCATGATATATATATTTCACATGAAATTCTTCTCATACCTATGGACGATATTTCAGTAGAGTTGTAGCGGTTTTTCTTTAACCCACGTATCCCACGTCGTTATAGGGTATGTCCCTCCAATGCCGAAGCTAATTATGCTAATCAGCCGGGGAATGGGCTTAAATAAAGCCCTTACCCGGCTTGATTACGGATTAGGTGGCATCTATCCCCAAATGGGAACCATGAGAATGGATGACTACGAGTCCTTGGAGGTCGGCAATATGGGATGCGACATGTGGTGATGAATATGAGGAGAAATGGATGAAAGAATGGTTTGGTAGTATTTTTTTAACCACAATGGGCAATACTCGCTGCATTGATCAGTTGAAAATAATCCATGGATATTCATAGAGTATATATAAGCACCGTGGATGTGAAGTAAGGCAACAATAATTCATGATTCATCAAAGGCTTCGAAACATTAAATCATATCAAATGTCCCATAGTGATATGGATTGAGTGGATGGTGGTGATGTGGTGGCACATAATATCCTCGATACGGGTGGTTCTCCAACGAGAAGTCACCCGTAGTCAACACGGGATTGTGTAGGCTTGGAGACGAGCCTGGGTGATTGGAGATTGACAGAGAGGGGTCTAGTTCATAGAAGTGATTCTGCATCTGGGCTGGCGTCACCGTATGCGGGTGAGCATCGGCCCAGCTCCAAATTTGTTTGAGATCGTTTTTGATTGGTTCGGCACTGCGGCCAGTCACTTTAGTGATGGTATCAAAGATGCCGAGTACCTGGTCTTGAGCTCCTCGTGTTTCTAAGCACTCTGCAGCGAGTACAAGAAAGTACAGGGATATATCGGCCACACCTCTATTCAACTGTTTAGACATTGAGAATTTTAGATTTTTGATCGAGTTTTGTACTAACCGGTCTGTGGTGTGGGCAATAAGGCCGCAGATTTCGTGCGCATGGCTGCGTTGCATTTTCCGCATATCCTCGTCGAACTCTGACTGAGAAAGGTGTGTTTTGGCTAACATGATACGACAGGCGTGGTAGAATAATCGAGAAACGATGGCAGATCGGTTGACAAGCCTAAAAATATGAGTAGGTGGACAGGTTGAATGCGAGATACTTGAGAACATACCAAACTTCAGGAAAGGCCGAATTGGAACCTGTTTGCCATGGCTGCAAATGACCAAGGGGTACGAGGGATCTAGGAATAGATTTCGCCCATTGGTCGCACCACCTGTTGTGAATCATCCATTCATGGTCGTGCTGAATGGTCCTCGCCGCATCGTCACCTAAACCGTGTGATTGTCCCGAAGACGCTTGGAAGGTGATGACCTTTGCGAAAATATAAAGTATCCGATGATGCCATATATCTTGGTTGCCCCCGTTGGTGGCATGTGATTGATCCATGTCCATATTGACCCCCCAAGTGTTTGGATCCCAAGACAATGTCCAATTATATCGCATACAGTTCAGCAGTTCTGCACCAACACTGATCCTGAAACATGCTCCACCCAACCCGGGAGTTTCGGCAGTCCAGCCACATTCTCGAATCAAAGCTCGGGAGCCTGCGCGGTGGTCTCCATTGTGCCTTGATGAGGTTGGCATGGTTTCGGAGAAGCCGAGGGCAAGGGCTGCTGTTGCGCAGAGAACGGAGTCACGGTTGGGATCATGCATTGCATTCAGGAGATCCCGAGTAGCATCGTCATAATAACTTGTCGCTTTTTCGTCCCCATAAGAGGCGTCTACAAAAAAAAGATGCCTAGCACCACACGCGAGAAATGCCTTTAGCAATATGGGCTCGCTGATGGCAAAACCTGGAAGAATCTGGGAAAACTGCATCCTGTGAGCGAATGTAATAATAGAGTGTGAGAAAATTTACCCACATGGTTCATTTCATCCATTATATCCATTAGGGGACCGACTTCTTCCGTAAAAGTTCTGAGAAGAGAGACTTGCTCTGGGTCGGCGAGGAAAGCATGATATTCATGTTTCCCAGCCAATTTCTGTGCGAAATGAGATGTTCCGTGTGGAAGAAGTTCATCTCCTGGCACCAAGTGAGACTGGTGCCAAGTATCAGTTCCAACGAAGTCGGCCACATTTGGATGCGGAACATCAAAGCTCAGTGGGTCAAACGAATGTGCCACGGATTGAAAGAGATTTGTCAAATCATCACCTATAACGTCAATGTCATGGTTTGAATGTCCGTTCTCTTGAACAGGGCTCTCCGGCTGGACAGGCGGGTATATCTCGAAGCCGCCCACATACAAAGACGCGATCAAACGCGAGTCATCCCGAAATGTCACCTTCGACCCATGCGGCCGAGCGATGATATATGGAGGAGCAACAGTTTGAGTATCAATGAAATTGAGGCGGACACCACGCTGACAGACGCGATCCGACTTGCGACAATTGAGACACCGTCCCACGGCTTCGTCGCATTTCAAATGTCTTTGGCGACAAGTGAGGCAGCCTGTGCGTACTCTCCTAGCTTTGGTATCTGGGGCATCTGAGGATTTCTTGCGACTGGAGCGGGGGCGGGGTGTACTTTGTGAATCGCTTGCTTGACTTTTTGGAGTGGATGTCCTCGTGCTGACGCTGGGCGACTGCGGCTGCGCCTTCGCTACTTTTCGGAGATTCATATTGCCCCGGTAAATTGCGAACTTGATAGCTCAGCTTTATAACGTAACTAATTTCTAGTCTCCGGCGCCAACTGGAGTCCCAACCGATAGACGTTTCCCAAATACACAAGATGCCGTTGTAGGTTCTACCCAGATGGCCATGTTCGTTGTTGAGACTTGCGATGAGAGTTTCAAAATAGTATCCAGCTGGAGAAAAGAAGACTGCGATTGTCTTTGGGATTTGGTATTCAAGTGTAGCTTCGAATCCAACCAGCAGCCGGCGGCACAGGAGGGGGGCAGAAAAGAAGGGATCGGCGAATAATTCTGGGGGGAGGCAAAAGAGGGTCAGCTGATGATTATCATACGGAGGCACATGAATATGCTTACTAGCCCCTTGCTTAACCACGCAGACGTCTCGAGGTTGTGGAAAAGTGGATTGATGTTAAGTTAAAGATCGAGTCAAAAAAAAGGTGGGTCGTTTTTGCCAAGATCACCGAGGTATAGTACCCGTTGATGACCTTTGCAATGACCCAGGTGTATAATTCATGCATATTTACATCGGGACAAGTAGATACAGTCAAGCTAATGTACTCAAGTATTTCTTACGCATGTTCTTTGGAATAGGCTACTAAATGCAGTCAATATACATTCTCCGTTGTCCACTGAACCGTTCCCGAGACACTATTTACGCCTTTCTCCCAATCGCGGTAGTCGGACTCGGCCCAAAAATATTAACACAATGACTGCCCAGAAGGCCGCGGATATGAAGGTCAGTTGGAGAGCCGCGGAGTACGATGTGGTGACTGAGAAATTATTAGCAAGGACAAAGCAAGTTGAACTCCAAATAAATAGAACACACCTTCTTGCCGATGGATTGGATCCAAGTGGGCAATAGTATGAACGGATTTGCGGACATGTGCAATAATGTGTTCCTTCTCAATACCGGTGACCTTGTTGTTGAGGTGGTATACCAGACTATTCTGGAAGATCCAGCTGCTGACAGCCACACCCATCACGGCGCCCAGGTTTCTCCACAGGCCAAGAGTGGTTGTTGCGACAGCCTGATCTTTTTGTTCACTAGTGGCAAGAATGGATACCATCAGGCTGGGAAATGCGAAGCCCTGACCTAAACTGGAGAATGAGATGCAGATCATGGAGAGTGGTTGAGAGGTATCAATGCCCATGGATGCAGGTGCGCATCCACCTATCACCATGAAGCATACACCGATGATGACGAAAGGTTTCAGACGCCTGGTCCAGTTAATCATGAACCCAGTGCTCACACTAGAGATAGTGACAGCTATGGAAGAAGCCACAAGACGTAGACCGGAAGCAGTTGGGCTGGTCAGTTTGACGGCCTGGAAATACAGCGGAGCGTTGAACAACACGGTGTGTATAGACATAGCGGCAAAGAAGTTGCCAAAGATAATACTGGCTCGAGGATCCTTTGACATGAGCTCAATTGGTAGCACGGGTCGTGGGACGTGAAGCTCGTAGCGCACTAAGACGACCGCTAGAACTACCGATGACACCAGGGAGATGACAATGAGCGGATGGCTCCAAGGATAGACGTTCCCTCCAAAGTTCAAACCGATGATCAACAGAGTCACACACATAATCAAGATGAATGATCCCAATATATCGATACTCCGGACTAACTGCCAGACTTTCATGCGCTCCATTCCAGTTCGTTTAACGCCGAGGTCAGCCGGGACTGTCCAGGCGGCTGCGATAAAGTAGACGAAGATGAAAGGCAGTTGGATGAGGAACGCGCCCCTCCAACCGATATGATCACACAGGTAACCACCAAAGGCAAGTCCGAGGCTACTGCCGATGCCGAGACACAGGTTGATGTATGATTGGTAGACTCCGCGATACTCGAGACGTACCAAGTCACTAGAGATGATCTGACCGATGGAGAAGATACCACCCGCACCAAGCCCACACAGCGCGCGAGCAGCGATGAAACTGCCGATATTTGACGCCAAGCCACAACCTGCCGTCGTGATGAAGAACATGGCAATAGAGAAGAGATAGACAGGTTTCCGGCCAAAAGCGTCAGAGATACGTCCGAAGAGGGGCATAAATGCGGTGGATGTTAACAAGAAGGCCGTCGATAGCCAGGAAGCTGAGTTGGCTGCTTTGAAGTAGGAGGTAATGACTGGATGGCTGGAGGCCATGAGGGTCGAGTCAAAGAAGCCGATCAAGTAGCCCATCATGATACCGCTAAAGATAACCCAGAATCTTGTCGGCGAGATATCAATGAACCTTGAGGCATAATCATTTTTGTGGATTGAGATGTTCGACTCTTGGTTGGGAGAGCCAGCCCCAGAAGCTGGCTTAACATGGGGTTCTTCAGATGCAGAGCTTGCACTGGATAGCTGACGAGTGTTGCCTTCTTCTCCCGTATCTTTGTATGAGCAGGCTGATTCAACATCCGTTGCGGAATACGAGACTTCATGGTGACTCGTCTGCTGGACGGAATCATTGCGCAGGAGTGGGGTGGCCTCGGAGGGGCAAAAATTAACATTTTGCCCTTCATTGTCGTTATTAGACATTTTTTGAAGAAGGCACAACTAGAAAAACAAATATATGAAGAATTTGTATGTTATTTCATGGGAACGAAGATTCTGCAAGCACGAAAAGTAAGTCCAACAAACGCCATCAACCCCCACTCATCGGCATTGAAAGCAGTGGTGACACACAAAAAAAAAAGAAAGAAGACCGAGCCAAGGGAGATGGACCTTTATATGAAGTCTAGTGCTGCAAGATCTGTATCTAGCGCAACACAGCATCAATTGCCGAGGGATAAAGTGCATCACTTGCAGTCCAAAAATCCATGAATGTTTTGACGAATCGGGAATAGCGTTTGTCAGCGGGTCCGATCTCGGGATCCGATAAGAGATAAGGAGTATTTGTATGGCTTCTCCAGGGCCTTTTAATTGACTCACTTGAGTATATTCCCATAATTTCATAACTGTATCATCTCTACATCACAACCAGGACAATGCATTCCCCACTCCGCATAGCCGTATTGGAATGCGACACCCCGCTTGACAACATCAACCGCCGCTATAACGGATATGGCGGGGTATTCCGCGTTCTCCTCAACGCTAGCGCCAATGCCTTGAACCAGCCCGAGAGACTTGACCCCAAGACGGGTCTGGAAATTACGGCTTGGGATATAGTCAACGATGACAAATACCCAAAGCTGGAAGATATCGATGCGGTACTTCTAACAGGATCAAGTGAGTGTTGACTCGGTAGGCTCAAACCAGTGAATGCACATACTAACTATAGTGACCCTAAAACAGAACACAACTCATTCGAAGATATCCCCTGGATCAACCGTCTGGTCGAATTCACTCAACAAGTCCTCGCACAGGATCGCGTCCGTCTCCTTGGAATCTGCTTCGGACACCAAATCGTCGGCCGCGCATTAAACGTCAAGGTCGGACGAAGCGACCAAGGTTGGGAGATCGCCGTGTGTGATATGGATTTGACCAATGAGGGAAAAGAGTTGTTTGGACGGGATAAGATCGTGAGTTCCCTAAACCTGCGCCTGGTGTAACAATAAACTATATATGTACCCAATGGGCCCGAGTACGTGGATGTGCAGACACCTGAGCTAATTTACCTCACAAATAGCGCATCCAGCAAATGCACCGGGATATTGTCTTCGATTATCCCCCGAACGTGATTCCGCTGGGCTCATCCCCGCGCTGTGCTGTGCAGGGTATGTATGTGCCGCGTCGCTTTATCACTGTTCAGGGCCATCCTGAATTCACGGGGGACATTATCACGGAGATTATCCAGACCCGGGCCGAGCAAGGTATTTTCAAGGAGGACCAAGCTCGGGATGCTTTGAGCAGAGTTAATATTGAAAATGATGGTGTGGCTATTGGGGTGACGTTCCTGAAGTTCCTACTGGAGGACTGAAGGCAAGGACAAACTCCCGATGCGACACGAGCGAACTGCATTAGATTTGCTACCTGGCTGGCTTCAGGTTCTGGCGAGTACTGGTTGGTGCCCTTTTAGACTGGGTTCAAATAGATCTATCTTCATGTACGACAGACGCACTGCAGGATTTGACAAGTTCATTAGGGCCTTTCGATGCATATGTACCTAGTGACAGGCAATAAAGTGCTATTTGGGAACGACAGGTGGGTTCGTGTTGTTACATGAGTATGACTTCCACCCTTGTTCACTATATAGAGATAACAGGAGGGACCGGGAGACTACGGAATGAGTACGACTGACAGTCCAGCCAGAAAGTGGGTGACATTAGGTTCTATATTAGAATTCAAGCTACCAAACAGAGCTGTGACACCAGTTTGCCACCAACGCTGAATCATGGGCCAAGGCCCAGACTGGAACAAGAGAGCCAAAAGAAGAGCAAAAGCTAAGGACTCTATAAAACAGTGGGGAAAAGAAACCCTGGTATCGTTGTAAACAAGGTCATTGAGGATTGCCCCAGGCAATCTCCTCATGCGAGTTCATAATCAGACAAAACGCCCCCTTCCGCAAGCCCATCGGCTGCGAGCCCCGCAGGGCGATGCAATATGCAAACCCAAGAAACCAATAGCTTCATCGCTAACGCCTTTTTTTTGATGCAAGAGAAAGCGCTAAAGATGCTCAAAGGTCTATCCGGAGACTGGAGACAAGCAAGAAATAAATAAATCAGTTCGGACGTGGGCGGGAAAGTCGTCTACTTCGACGACATTTCTTTCCGTCCGTGTCCGATTGTTCCGGGTTGGTGTTACCCGGGAGAGAGGGGTCTGTGGCCTGACCATCTTCTGCGTCGGAGTTCATCTATTAAACGGAGATTTAGCAAATGTCCCATTCGACGGTAACTCTTGTTTGGAGAACTCACTCGAAGATTCAAGGAGACAACCTCGTCATGTTCATCCCTGAATGAGATCCCAACACCCAAGGTAAGGTTAGAGACGAGGCGTTTCTTAGGTCTGGTGCGTCGTGCGGGACGAGGATCTTCGGAATCGTCGCTGTCCTCTGCGGACCGCTTGCTACCCGTACTAAATGGGGAAGAGGAGCGCGAGGCTTGTAAACTTGATTTGATGGGAATCCCAGGAGCACCTTTCTTATCAAGGGGAATGTCCGTCTGCTCGTCCAAGAGCGCGGCGAAGGCGCGATCGATATCGCCACGACATCTCTGGAGCATGTCCACAATGGTATCCCGGTCATACCGGCCCCCCAATCCCTCTTGGATGGATTTGATATCCCAAGGGGGGTATAGGTCAACAGCAAGGTCAGCATCGTTGGTATAACCATCAATAGCTTTTTCTTCCGGTGAAGTGAATTGTTTGTGATCAGCCTCGGATTTAGGGTCTGAGACGACCGCGGGATCAACCTCCTCATTGATGGGTTGAAATGGCTTCACCTTGGTAAGAAGTCCTTTATGTTTGCCCTCGATTCCCCGCACTGAAGAATAGTGTTTGAAGTCCTATGATCGTCAGTGGGGCGCGAGGATATGCACAGCAAGGCACTTACATGGAATGCTACATGCACCACATCTCGAGGTTGATTTGGTAGGGCATTGACATCCTGGAACACCGAAACACCATCCATGGTGTATACATTCAAGTCGACCTTGAAGGCCTGACAGAACGCCTGGAGATGCTCGGAGCTACCCCATTCGCCGTTCTTACGGGTGGTAGCAATCATTTCCTGGAACCGCCGTTCCATGTCCTCCTGCGTCGGAGCGGAGACATCGGCAGAGCGAGTAGCATACGCAGATGCAGCCGCACGTTTCGGCCGACGCCGCTCCCCACCTTCAGCAACGACAAATTGCATGAAGTATTCTTTATTGGAAGCCATATGATTGGCTAGAAGCTGGCGTATTTCGTCTGCATGGTGTGTGTCGCCATACAGTTGGTCGGAGAGGGAGTAGTAGAGACAATTGCCTGGGATTGGACGCGTCAGAATAGGTACAACGACGTGATGCAGCTTCCAAAGACTACGATGGAGCTCAGAAATCATGCGGGTGTAATTGGCTTACCGTCTCCCTCGGTGGGGAGTGCATAGAGGCCTCTCTCTTGGAGAGAGGCCATCTCCAAGCTCGCGTGGTGCATGTGCTTGGCTTTGGAAATCTGCTGATCCTGCAACAGGCGGGGCATGGTCGGTGGGGAAGAGATTGAAGAACGCGGGATTGGAGGAAGAGATGCGTCTAACAACGCAGGCACCTCAAGCGTGGAATCGTGAGAATCAGAGCCCGTAAGTATGGGCACGATTCTGCCACCATTAGTGAGGCGTGACATATTGAAAGGAAGACTCGACTAAGAGTCGGCATTTATGGGAGTGTAGACCAATTGACAAACAAATAAAGAAGTGAAGGGAAATAGAGAAAATAGAGAAATTGAGGTTATTGATCTAATGGCAAACAAAAGAGCCCGCAGAGGGAATTCGGGCCCTGCGGGTGGTATGAAAAAGGAAATTGTTCGTCCCCCGAGCCCATTTGAGTGCCGAAAGGAGGCGGTGAGCCCTGATGTTCGGTGATTGGCCACACGTGGATGTCTGTCCACTATGACATCGCCCAACTTTCGTTGTATAAAAAGCGCTTCAGGGTATTCAAGTCTATATTTAGTAAATCAAAGCTTCTTCTCGGGTTTCTGACCTAAAAATATATGAAAGAATTGTGATTTACGAGCAAAGTGAGGGTGAATTGAAGCAATTGAAGATTAAATGTGATCGATAACGTTCAATTCAGAGTGGAGTCCGGAGTAATGGAGCGGGATTTTACGGAGCTCCTTGCTGGAGGCCCAAGTGAAATCACTGGATAATTGAGGCCTGAATCAAGGGTCTAAAGATATTTGAGAAACAAAGGCATTGAGGTATTTCAACAGCTGTATCTATAGCTACACTAATTTCCCTGCGAAGTATATGTAAGCATCACCTCCGCACTTATGCGGAGGTGTATTTTTAAAAGTTGTGTATCCATCCACGGCTCCACTGAAAATCTCTAGCGCGTTTATTTATTTTTCACAGTATTTTATTGGCGAATGCTATACACCGCCTCGGTAGGATTTCCATAATCGGCCAAGCATAAAAGTGAGATAATAAGACCCATACCACGCCTTACCAGACCTTACCGGACCCCTGTACCGGCTAAATCAGCAAGATAGCTGTCCCCTCACCCCGCCCCTGTTAGCGCACATTGAGGACATATCTTCTTGCTTGTGCTGTTTTATTTTTGGTATCGGCTCAGAAATTCAAGGTTAAAAAGTGCATCATGGCGAATAACATTGTAGTTTTGGGGTAAGATCTCTTTCTCTAGCTCCGTTCGAACCTCCACTTACGGTATAACAGTGCTGGTGTGTCTGGTTTGACCACCGCATACCTTCTGTCGCAAGACCCGGCCAACAAGATTACTGTTCTGGCAAAACATATGCCTGGCGACTATGATATTGAATATGCGTCCCCATGGGCCGGTGCCAACTATATGCCGTATGATCCAACCAACCCAGCTCCTTGTGAAAGTTCTGACTAAGTGGATCTTCTACAGGGTGGGAAAGGAGGGAAGTGCTCATCAGAAATGGGAGCGCAATACCTGGCCAGCATTGAAAGAAATTACGGACAAGTACCCCGAGGCCGGTATCCACTTCCGAGGTATGATCTTCTCCAGAATCTGATCAATATCCAACCCTCTAACAAAATGTAGGCACCTTGATCTACAACAGAAAGAAGGATCAGGAATCAGACACCGGAAAGTGGTTTTCGGAATTGACTCAGCCAAACCCGTGGTATAAAGATGTCGTACCTGATGTATGTTTTAACCGAAAGATGGTACCACAGACTGTCTGCAGACTGACGTGATGATTCTAGTTCAAAAACGTCCCCTCGGGTCAATTGCCTACTGGAGTGGATAGCGGCCAGGAGTTCACATCTGTCTGCATCAACACCGCCGTCTATCTGCCGTGGTTGGTCGGCCAGTGCGTCAAGAACGGCGCCGTCTTCAAGCGAGCTATCTTCAAGCACATCGCCGACGCGGCCAACGCCCACCACACCGGACAGAAGGCTGACGTGGTGATCAACTGTACCGGTCTATCATCCAAGACCCTCGGCGGTGTTCTCGATGACAAGATGCACCCCGCCCGTGGCCAGATCGTCGTGGTCCGCAATGACCCCGGTCCCATGATGTCGACATCCGGGACTGACGACGGAGAAGATGAGGCGTTGTACATTATGACTCGTGCTGCAGGTAAGTTCTCACATGCTGGTTGTACTATTTGACCGTTGGCTTATTGCTTCTAGGTGGTGGCACGATTCTCGGTGGCTCTTATCAAAAGCACAATTGGGATGCCCTCCCAGATATGAACCTTGCCAACCGCATCATGAAGCGTTGCATCGAGGTTTGCCCCAGTCTCGTAAAGGAGGGACAGGGAATTGAGGGGTTGGATATCATCCGCCATGGCGTCGGCCTGCGACCCCTGAGAGAGGGTGGTACTCGTATTGAAAAGGACAAGGTTGACGGTGTCGCAGTCGTTCATAATTACGGCCATGGAGGATTTGGCTACCAGGCCTCCTTCGGCTGTGCATATGACGCTGTGGCTTTGGTCAAGGAGATCCTGCAGAACAAGTCTCGCGCTAAGCTTTGAGGAGCCTCGTTGTACAGGTCAATTGTTGTTGTGTACTAGCAGTTTCATGCGTTCAGCCTTCACATATATATATTGCAAAGTCTAGTCCGTCTATATATGCCATTATGACGGCAATTGAGAATTGCTTGAGCACTCAGTTTGAGACTCAGCAGAATAATCATTGAACTCCATCCACAATCGTTCCATTAATTGTTCCTTGTTCCTCGATGCCAGCACATAGGTCTAGAGTAGCTGAAAATCGACAAAGTTTTGAATGAGTTCGGTAGATCTCCTCTGCATGACACAGTACTTGCCGACTCGCTAAACTCCAGTCCTGAGATGGTGTTGGCGATTGCTTTGGCTTTCTTCACTTTTCGAATCGCCTTTCCTAGCAAGTGTGCAATATAATAATGTCACTCCCATTCACACGAAGCAGTTCTTATGGTTACTATACTGAGACTAGTAGAGCTACATCTCATCCTTTATTCTCTAGTCCTATCTGATCTCAAATTGATAAGGATCTCCTCGCCTTCAACACGAGAGTTGAACCATTCCTTAATGCGAATCGGACCATCACCAACCACGCTCGCTCCACAAAGCAAATCAGCCTCTACGACCCTCAAGATCGCCCCGGTCAGCTCCATAGTGCCCAGATTCTGCGCGATACAAGCTCTAGTTCCCTTTCCGAAAGCGAAGAAATGAGTTAGCATCTCATCAGTCGGCTGGAGCCAGCGTTCCGGCAGGAATCGCGACGGGTTTATGAAAACAGTCTCGTCTTGATGGAGCTGGAATGAGGCAACACCGACATTTGTGCCTGCAGGGAAATGAAATTTGTGATAGTTCCATCCATTGTCGGGTACTGCGCGTGGGAACCGGATTGGGTTGGCCCATGACAACCGTAGGCCTTCTTTTATAGTTCCTCGAAGATAATCACACGTTGCTGGATCTTCTCCATTCTCGACGGTTTGTCTGATTTCTTCTCTGAGACGATTGTATCTATCATTTGCGTCAGATTCGATCGATCACGAGGGTAACAGTCTTGGGGCAAAAGTACATATCGGGATATTTGGCCAAATACCACAGTATTGTCGCAGTGTTCATGCTCGTAGAGTCTGTTCCAGCAAAGCAGACATCTTTGACTTCGATCTGAGACTGCAAGGGCGATTGTTTTTCCAGTAGACGACTCTGATAGCTTCCGCTTTTGGCTGTCGCCGCTTTCACGAGCTGATTCGTGAAACTGTTCATCAATTCAAAGGCTTTTGCTGTGGCCTCAGTAGATAGGACTTGCTCCACAGCTGCGACCACAAAATCTCCCAATATTCCAGGAGCCACGTTGAAGAACGCTCCGACTCCAACATACGCATCGACAAAAGGCGATGCCGACATCAACCCCGCGTCCTCGCGGAGCGCGCCATATCTATTCTGGAATAAATACCCACTCACAGCATCAATAGCCATGCACCGCGACACATTCAAAACATTAACTGGGGTACCCTTGTCCGCTTCCCGTCGCAACCGAGCGACAAAATCGTCAAAGACCTGCGAAAATACTTGCTCCGACTGTCGCAACGAAGCCGTGGAAAAAAGAGGCGCGACCGCCTTCGCTCTGGCCGCGCGCTCTGGCAGTGTCAGAGTTGAGAAAATCGTGTTATGGCCATCGATATTGAATTTTGAGTAAGCGGGGGATTTCGGGAAACCCCCGCGCGCGATATAGATCGGATCGATAGCGTCAGCGCTGGCGATGTCGACATCGTTGGGTGCTACGCGTAGCACAGGGCCGTATTTACGATGCAGGTTGAATACAACGGTGCATTCATCACCAATGTAGGTGTGGTATGCGAGCCAGAGCGAGGTACAGGCTGCTATCTTTGGGCCGGGGACGCGAGATAGCGGGTGGAGATACAGTCTGTAGATCAATAGGCAAGCCAGGCCGGCCAGGCACAAGATTAGTATGAGCGCCATTGTTTGATCAGAGCAGGTCTCATCGCTCATATTTATCCGGAGGCTGTCAAATCGGGTCTCTCGCTGCTATCATCGGATCGACCGACGTAGGGCGCTTATCAGATTAGCGGCGTCTCCGATCTTCTCTCGTAATAATCGTAGATAGCCCTCGGCGGGACGCCGGGGGGGGGGGGAATATATACCCCTTGCATGACAGTGAGATGCTCGGCATCAGCCAAGATGGCCAATGTTTTCGATGCCTCCACGCGAGAGGATGTCGTTCTCGAAACAATGGGGTACCAGCAAGAGCTCAAGCGCTCATTTGGTTTGCTGGACATGGTGGGCTTCAGCTTCAGTATTGTCACCTGGTAAGAACCATCGTGAATATTTGCACGAGTGGTTTTCTGACCGACACAGTTGGACGGCACTAAGCGGTGTCTTCATTATTGGCGTCGAGGCCGGAGGTCCACCCGTCATGATCTTCGGTTGGATCGGCGTCTGTGTCATCACCATGTTCATTGCACTAGCAATGGCTGAGATGTGCGCCCGCTGGCCAGTGGCTGGAGGACAGTACTCGTGGGTGGCCCTGCTGGCGCCCCCGAAAGTATCTCGACAGCTGTCGTATATTACGGGGTGGTTCATGTTGACAGGTTAATAACGATTTCCCTATAGATCGGAGAGATCGGCTAACTCCACTACCAGGAATCCTCGCCATGGGCGCTTTGAATAACTTCGTTGGATCTAATTACATCCTCGGACAAGTGAATCTGGTATTCCCGGGGTTCGTGATCGAGCGCTGGCACACCGTCCTCGTCGCATGGGCCGTGGGGCTATTTACGCTAGTCGTGAATGTCTTCGCACCGCACGCTTTGCGCCGCGTATCGCGCCTGATCCTTATATGGAACATAGTCTCGTTCGTCGTCGTCATCGTCACGCTTCTCGCAACAAATAAACACAAACAAGATACAGACTTTGTTTTCCACGAGTTCCGAAATATGACTGGGTTAGGAGCAGTCATGGCTACGATAGTAGGTATCTTGCAGAGTTTCTTCGGCATGTGTTGCTACGACGCAGCCAGCCATATGACCGAGGAAATGACGCATGCTAGCCGGGACGCGCCGAGGGCAATCATCTTATCTGTGATCCTAGGTGCGGTAACAGGCTTTATTTTCTTGCTTACGCTGTGTTTCTGTATAGGCGATATCGAGGCAACGGCCAGCTCGACTACTGGGGTTCCGGTGATTCAGATATTCTACGACTCGACCCAGAGTAAGGTGGGGGCTTGTATATTGGCTAGTCTGATCACCGTGATTGTCATCGTGGCGTCTGTCAGTCTCGTTGCGGAGGGATCACGCTCAGTGTACGCCTTTGCCCGGGACCATGGACTTCCTTTCTCGAAGCTCTGGTCGACAGTCGAGCCGAGACGGCAAATTCCTCTATATTCTATTATTCTCACGCTAGTCGTGCAGCTGGCACTCAATGCCATCTACTTTGGAACGGAGACCGGGTTTAACACGGTGGTTTCGATCGCAACGACGGGGTTCTGTGAGTGCTTTGATCCTTCGGTTGCATGTGGAGGTTTGAATAATGCTAATCTCACTGAATAGATGTCTCCTATGGTCTGGTTCTTTTTGCTCGACTACTTGGCTACTTCTATGACCATGATACCTCTTCTTTCGACGGACCCTTCGCCCTTCCGCTTCCACTGTCACTTGCCTGTAATGTCATTGGCTTGGTCTTCCTGCTCTTTGGGTCCATCACGTTCAATTTCCCTTCTGAAGCTCCGGTAACATCGGATTCGATGAATTACACGAGTGCAGCTATCGGGCTGGTGATGTTGCTCAGCTTGGTGACATGGTTGACGACTGCAGCAAAGCAATTTACCGGGCCTTCAGACGTAAAGCATCTAGTCGTTGAGGGCATCGAAAGTCCTTCGATGCGGCAGACAGATGATCCTCTGAATGCCAAGGCTGGCAAGGAACATCAATAGAGGAATAGAAATAGAACCTTGAAACATAGAAATGCTGCTTATAATGGCTACTGGGAAATTGGATTTTACAAGGAACTGCAAATCGACGATGATAATTCATTCTCGTTGATATTCGTAGGCGATCCAGATTAAAACAATAGCCCATGGTTAACCAATAGCAACGCGAAATGGAAAAATTCTCCGCAAGAAGGGAAATATAGCTTTGATATCCAGATAGGACACCAAAATAGATTACGGCAGCACCAATAACCAAACCCAGGCATTTAACCCATATAATGACAACTTTTAGCACATAAGGGGCTCATTCTTCACATCACCACGGTTGGTCTTAGGGATAGGAGCCGCCAATTCCATTGAACCTAGGGAAATCATTACACAAGCAAGTGTGTTTTAAACCCACAGTTCAGTCAAATGCTACAAAACTACAAGCTCAGCAACAGGCTTAGGAAGCTCAATAAGTCCCGGTTCCTATGCCTGGTCAAATCAATGGCCATGTCGACGCTGCTGGCAATATCATCTTAGACTAATAGCAGTAGCCCGTGGCTAAGATTGGGATTGGTATTGATTTGGACGAGCTATATAATGCGCTGGATCGGGACCCATTGCGCATGGGTTGGTTCGCTAATGGCCTCTCTGAGGTTTGGCTGGAGAAAAGGCAGGAAGTAATACAGGAAGTTTGAAATTGCATAGCATATTCATCAATGTATCTTAACAAGAATGACAAGATTATGGGATTTTCCCCTCCGGTACAAGTATTCCAGCCTTTGACCTGGCATAATGATACCTCCTCACTCAGCCCATCGGTCAGAGCTCGCAACGAAAAAGGCGATGTTCGTTTGACATTCTTCAATGTTATCATAAAAGACCCAAAATACCTCGGCTAGGTAGCCTTAAACGATAAACATATATTACCGAGAAGCGTGTCACGGGCCTTTCGGATTCGGTGCCAAATGGACCACCTTTATGAAGTCAGCTACTATGTTCTACATTCATGGAATAAACACAGCAACTTACCACTGGAACTATGGCTGACACAGTCAGAAACGCCAGCATGGCGGTGCATCCAGTCCATCCCATAGTCTTATACGCGAGCTCTGAAAGCAATGGACCGAGCACAGTGCCGGCACCAAAGGCTGCATCAAGGAGCATATAAGCCTCAGTGACCGCACTCTTATCGCCATATATATCAGGCTGTTCCTCTTGAAGAACATTCACGATGCGAGGTATCTCCGTAACCAACGGGGTTAGCGACGTATTAAGCCCTATCCCTGTTCATCGTGAGCAAATCTGTAATTTGACGTTCATGGAACTCATATCAGAGCTTACCAACACAAGCTAATAGTATGCAAGCCATTACCTTATTTGTAGTATCGTCGTGTCGTATCAGAGCGAGGAGAGCGACTGCTACAGCCCCGAACGTAAAACCGACAGTAGAGACCAATCGAACACCATATTTGTCTGAGATCATTCCAACAAATGGACCAAGGAATGATGGAATGGTTATGTTTAAAAACATGGCGCCTGTAGCACCAGAAAACCAGTGAAAATTCTGCTTGATAAAAGTCGGGAGGACGGCGTCCATGGCGCTCACCAAGATCATGTTGATTAGGCATCCATATAATGCAGCAAGTATGCGATGATTTCGAAGAAAGCCTCCGACAATAGTCCACCAAGAAGGATCATTTGAAACCGCAGAAGAGGTATCGCAGCAATGTGAGAGGAGCGGTGTTGTGATGGTTGGATCCCAATCTTCAACAGTCGATAGTCGCTGTTTTCCCTTTGAAATAGCACTTTTGTTCAAGTTTTCATTAAGGAGGGGAGGAGGTCTAGTCGAACCATTCTGCCCTCTATACTTTTCAGCAGTCTTTCTGTCGATCATGAACAGAATCAAAATCAAATTGACGAAGACAACGCCGAGGCCCATGATGAAGACAGGATAGAACCCTGCTTTCTCATACATGATCCCTCCGAGCGTGGGTGATACGAGCACGCCAAGATTCATGCCAGAGAGTCCGAAGCCAATCCAGGGTCCCAGCTCGTGCGACTCGATCGTATCAACCAACAGCGTTAAGCCGGCAGTATAGACAACGCTCGCAGATAGACCCTGGAAAATCCTTGCCACGATGATCATCCACGGCTCGACTCCAAGCATGAATGAGAGGGTGGCACCGAATGCACAAGTGAGGCCTCCTAGGAATGGGATTTGGCGTCTTTCGCATTTTCCGACAATCCAGCCTGCCACCGGGGCGCCGAGGACCATTGCAAGTCCGAAGACGGCTAAAGAGGTGGATGTCCAAAATGGGACGTCAGCCTCTGGTACTCCAGACCGAACGGTTAGAGAGAAAGGAAGGACGGATACGATCTAGAAGAGAGCCCGTAGGGTTAGTACTGCCATTGGACAGTAAATGATAGAAGTACCTACGATCCCGTAAAGGAACCCATCAGTAAACGTGGTCGAGAAGACAGCAAGGCCGATCAGTTGTTTGGATGAGCGCAGATTGAAAAGCCATGGTTTTATTGGTATGATATTCTGCATGGTGATTCAGAGCTGAAAAACTAAGAATTATACCAAAGGCCGATTTGATTGTTCCCTCGAGAGCCCCTCGTAACGGTGTCCAAGGTGAAGAGAGAGAAGGTGTAATCAAGACAGAAGTCTGACTATAGACTCTTGCATCGAGGCTAGTTATATGAACTGTATTTAAAGAAATTAACATGTCAGCAACGAATAGTTTTCAATATAAGCAGTCTTGGCCTCTTAGGATATTGGTAAATTGGCCGGATTTAACCAGTTAACCGTGCCAAGCGCCCAATCCGTTTAGGTGATCTGTCAAATACCGAGTCTGAATACACTGTACAATACACAGGTAATATATGCTACGCCAAGCATACCAGAGGATTTATGAATCTTCTATTGCTTTGATTAGATAATCATGCTCCATAGTTAACATAAATTGTAAGGAGCGCGTATACAGAAATACAGAGAGTTCCATATACTCATTCATACCATACATTTCATACAGACCGATTTCTGTCATGATCCCCTCCGTTTAAGTGATCCCCTCCGTTTAGGTGGCGGACCCTCCGTAAGGAGGGTCTGTAATTTTTGTAAAAAAATGTAAGGGCCGGTTAGTTGGTAGATCCACATGCATGGAGGGATGATACATGCACGTTGCTTGCATGCTTTATTAGCGATTAACACACGCGATTGGGCCAACAAAGCTGCACTAGATCAGGTTCTCCACTACGATCGCAAGTTGCACTAGCTGAATGATTTACGGCGGGGAAACTAGACCCACGGAACATTTTAGGGCCCTTTGAAGTGAATTTGTAAGGGTTCCATGGGGCCGCAGCCTCTTGTCATTGAATGGGCACAGTAGTTAGCAAATCACATCTAGTTAGCAAATCACATCTAGTTAGCTACCTAGGTACCCTTGTGTGCTTAATATGGGGTTTGGAGTCTCGTATTGTATTGTTAGATCCCTTTGCTTTTTTCAGCTCGATTCTGCTTATATCCTGAATCTCTGCCCTGCTTTTTTCAGCTCTCTTTTACAAACTTTCCTTTCGTTGACATTCCGATCTATACGATTTGGTCGAAAGCTATCTGGCTCAATTCCGAGCTGTTACATCATCTACCCATTCAGACACAGAAAAACAATGAAACCTAGACCCTAGTGAATAATCAAACAACAACGATTATCAATATTAATTTGCATACTTTGTTTGGATAAAGAGAGCTCTAGAAACTGCGGTTTTATTAATATAATGTTAGCGGTGATAACCAAGTGTAGTCAAAACTTGAAATATATAAATCACGATACAAGTAGTCATCTAATCTACAGGCGTTGTGTGCATGCTTACTGATAGGAACGTGATGGATAAACCAGGTATGTATTTCCAGGCATGTTTGGTTTAGGCGTGGAGACTTTAGGCACAATATATTACGAGGGGTTGGAGCGTTGACAATTATATTTCGAGTGTTCTTGCAAAATCCGTTCGTGTGTTATTCGTGAATTTATGCTTTGTAAATCAAACATCCCTATAATCAACCTCAGGACATATAGTACAACATAGACACAGATATAATATGGCTTTCGTAGGATTCAACTGTCTGTCTTCTCTTTCTTTGCCCATAATTGTATCTCTGGCTCTCTACTACTTTATTGAGACGGCTTAAATGAAGATTCTAGTTTGGATTTTCATTATACTAGATACCTTAACGTTTATCACACCCATCGAGGGCTACATCAAGGGAAACACCGCGCCCAAGACCTAATACGGTATAGCGTCCGCACTGGCCTGTGGCAGATCACGTGAGCTACATGTGGCCTTGGCAGACCCGCCGCTCGCGACAGCGCAGCAGCTGTCGACGCCCTCATTTCCCATTTCCCCCCTGTTCAGCTTCGTACAAACCTTGGTAAGCTTTTTGATCAAACGTGTGTTCCTGATTATAGCTCCCTCCAAATCCACTGTTTCATCTCAAAGGTGTGTTTCCCTTTGTCATGGAAACAACAAACTGAGGTCCAGCCTGGCGAACTCGGGCGAACCTAACTTCCATCACTTGAGCGATTTGGCGAGACTAGGCACCATCGATATTTGTATCATAAGCTAACCTAGCACCCCCAAAGATCCAATTTAGCCTCTTGACACCGATTCTTCGATACTTTGCAGCCTAACGACTCACCTCCGCATTACTGAAGATCACTTCCATCCCATACCCTTCAAAGCCATCGCAATGGATTTCACAAACATCTTGTATGTTAGATCTTCCTGGGATACGTTGTGCCTGTACTAATTCAATGCAGCCGTCTTGTCAATATCGCCGTGGGCGTGTTTATGGTGCTCGGTGGCATCAGTAATTTCTTCAGCGGCTCCTTCAGTTCAATCATCCTGGGCGCATACGTAGTCGTCTTCGGTCTCGGTATGTCCATCTGATAATCCAAACTCACGCCAATCTTTAGCGCTAACATGATCCTAGTCATCGCCGGACTGGAGTTCCTGCCTCACGTCCCGGACTACGCGTACCGTTATGCGTCGTTCCTCTTCTCCTTCCTTGGCCGTGGTGTCTGTAAGTTATCCCTTTACCCTATATCCGAGGGAAATCGGCAGCTAAACAACTCTCGTCCATAGTCTACATCTTTATCGGTTCCATTCTGCTGCACGACCACGTGCTGCGCATCATTGATGGTTCGCTGGTCGGCTTCATCGGTCTCGCATACGTCGCCCTCGAGTTCATTCCTTCCATCGAGCCTCCTGCCAACATGCGCGAGTCCGACCAGGGTTGGGGTGCTGAGCAGGTCTAAATTGCTGCCTGCGTAGGTAGCGATGACCATTTCCTGTCACGTGCCCAAAGGGGCGCATAATATCGACATTATGATGGATAATGTCTCTTTCAGGCATTATCCTTCAGCATGCATGCGATGTTGAGCGCAGTGACTTTGGGATGTTCTTGAGTCTGAAATCGGTGAAGGATGTCATTATAGAGAAGCGGGAGGGGGTTAAGGGTGATTTTGCTGTGTCTCCGAGATTTTTGTTGATATCAGCTTTAAAGTGAGGGACACCTGTACTATATTTGGACGTGGTGGACTAGCAACAATATGGTCTAATGATTTATTGATTTCTGATTACAGTGTCCGGTGAGAGAGATCATCTGATCTGATAATCAACTACGGAGTAGTGCAGGGTCTTCTCGCAGACCAGTAGGAAGCACCGGCCGTCCCATATTAGACCGGACTAAAAGTACAGCGTGGCCATATCTGGCCATATCGCTTCGGCACATTCCCTCTCCGAAGAACCAATCGGACCACCCAGAAAGTTGATTACAGTATTAGTCATCTCCGTTCAACCAATCAGCTTGGTAAGATATCTGATTGCCTACCATTGCCCCACTCTCACCTCACTCTTTTCTACCGTTTCCACCTTTTCCACTAATTTTTTTTTCGCTTTGCAACTAAACTTCTTCAGATAATTGGTGGAGTTATGCGATCTGGGAGATAGAATGCAGGAAGAGATTTCGATTTGAATGATATAAGGAAGAAATGTAAAAGAAGTTGATTAGATGAGATGCGATCCTCGGGGTAGATCAAAAAAAGTGATAGATTGATATGCCCGTCGATCGCCCCTTAGATCGATAAACCCCAATCCCTTTCTTTGGCGATAAGCAATTTGGTCTCGCCTCTTTGTCTCTCTCCTTTTTAACCTTTTTTCATTTTCGGCTTTCCACATATTTCACCTTTTGATATCCTCGACATCTCCTCTTGAATTCCTCCTCCCTTATCGCCTCCATCACATCTGGTGTGCCCACTTTGCCCGGTGACGCGGAGTGATCACCATCTTGCAGCTCCCTAGCCTCTCAGCCAATCCCTGCTCCGCAAGTCGTCCTTTTTTACCGGGCTACCCATCCCCGAACGAAACCGTCCCCCACGATCGCTTGCAAGTCAGACCAGACCCTGTGGTGTGCTGTCAATTGTCACAAATCACCAATCACCTGACTGTTCCACGCCGTTGGGTCGCCACTGTTCCAGACAAGTCGGTTGCTATCCTTTAGTGGTGGGTTCGACTAGTCTAATATACTCGACACTCGATTTCCTGATCTCTGTGTGGCCTGCATTCGAATTCACATCTGTTCCACCGCGATCCCGACACATCGCCCTGCGATCCCATCCCCGAGCCTGCAGCATCGTGGCTGCAGATCTTCCTGCTGGACTGACTTTCGCATCTTTCTCCAACCATCAGCTTGACCGACATTTGGGTTTTGAGTGATACGGTACATTCCGCTCTCGACTGTGGTGCGACATCGCCCTCACATAGCACTTTTACTCTCCCTTTCGATTCCGTTCTCATATTCGATCCTTCCGTTCTAAGGATCACCACGGCCACAGGATTCCTGGCCCGGATCACACATTGTAATGTTAGCGTCGATCCCACAAATGGAAGCGCTTCACTCTCTACCTCGAAATCCCGACGTTCCAATGCGACAACCATCAGCGGAGGATTTGGATGCTGCTCAGCAGTTGATATCCTCAGCGCAAGCAGGTCGTGAACATCTAGCGGATCACTATCGGGAAGATGGCATGCAAGGATCTGGTCAACCGGGATCAAATCAATGGATTGGACACAATGAACTTCCCAATGAGAAAACATCCCCCGGCAGCCAAAAGGATACAACGTTCCTAGGGCATTCATGCAGGTGAGTCTCGACTGGATGGCCTCGATTGATATTTAGGTTCTTAGTGCTGACCCTGTATCTTTTATTCAGCAATTGCGGCACAAAAAGCACTCCTCTCTGGCGTCGTTCCCCCACAGGAGCGATGATTTGCAACGCCTGCGGTCTCTACCTTAAAGCTCGCAACGTTGCTCGCCCTACAAAACGAAATCGAATGCAATCAGAGGGGGCCGAGAAGCCCCAGCCTCCTACGAACTCCCATTGTGGCGGTTCCTCAGAAGGTGGTGGTTGCAAGGGGTCATGCCCTGGTGGTGGGAGTTGCAACGGCACTGGTGGCGCAGAAGGTTGCGATGGATGCCCGGCATACAACAACCGGATATACAAGTCTGCTCCCCGAGGAGCAGCTGCCATTCAATCTTCATGGGGCCGTCCATCACAAGAGCTTGAGCCCGTGGCGCAGGAGGAGCCACCCGTAAAGGCCCCTGCTCCTGCCGATGGACCTAATACTTTGGTTGCTTGTCAAAATTGCGGCACAACCGTGACCCCTCTATGGCGGCGCGACGAACAGGGTCACCCCATTTGCAACGCTTGTGGTAAGTTTGGGTCTCGTATAGACATGATGATCTGACTTGTCTAACACAAAGCAGGATTGTACTATAAGCTCCACGGATGCTATCGCCCCACTAACATGAAAAAGTCCATCATCAAACGTCGCAAACGCGTTGTCCCTGCCCTACGAGATCAGTCTCCCACCGGTGCTACCATATCTTCTAATGGCTCATCGGCATCCCCAGAGGCATCACCTGCTACCCTGGCGCATGGCCATGACGATCACCATCGATATATGAGCAATGAGCCTGCGGATCACTACCACATGATGCATGGAAAAGCCGAAGAGACCCCTCGACCTTTGCCTTTCGCGCCACCGCCGGTTGATTTCACCGGTTACAATGTTTCATCGGTGCCCCTTACACATGGTCTGCCCATCTCCCACGGCCTACCCAAGCCTTTGGGGGTGGAACGACTGGGACAATCACCCGTGTCTCAGTACGGGCGACGTTCTGCCTCTCCAAATGCCCTCAACCTTCCTAAGAAACGAACATTGGCCGATACTGCGACCGAAGGTCTACCACCTCCGTCTACATTGGAAGCAGGATCAAATCAACTGCCTCCAATTATGTCTTCTGCCAATCCTACTCCCCCGGGTCGTCTCAGCTCCATCTCATCCATTCTAAATCAATCAGATGTTCGGAGCGAACCTCGCTCGGATACAAATCTGGGACGTGCACCTCCTCTCCACCACTCTATCTCCCCTTCGCCCCACCCGCCGCAGTCTTTGCCTGGCCTTGCATCTCTTGGAGACTCAGTTGATCGCCGTGCCCGACTTGAACGCGAAGCCGAGCAGATGCGCGAGATGCTCAGAGCCAAGGAGCGCGAGCTGGCAGAGATGAGACGATAGATTCGATGTCCGCCCAAACAGTGACGAAATTAATGATATTCGGATAATGTTTTGCAAATCGGTGTTTTTCGTGAGATAAACGGCGCACAAAGATACCACTCACCTTACTGGGATATCTTGTCCCTAGTTGTGTTATTAGTTAAAAAAAAAGTGCGTCCAATGAATTGTATTTTATAATGTGGAATCGCTATCCATTTACTTTGATTCCTCAATGCCCACGTAGGTAAGTTGTATCTTACCTTGACTTGAGGACCGATGTCATAATGACTTCCAACCCAACCTCGACCAACTCAATTGAAAACAGATCAAATTCGCTCTTAACAACCACCCTCAATTCTTCAAACTGACCACACTACAATGTCCATCCCAAAAACCTTCACTCTCACTTTCACAGGTGACGTAATGCTCGGTCGCCTACTCGACCAACTAATGCCAGAGCACGTCACAAATGAGCACGACGAACGCATCGCCACAACCTTCATCAAAGCCCATCCAACCCTCCTCGGAAATGGTAACTACACCCCCTCCTCACCATGGGGCACAACCCTCCCCCTCCTCCAGTCCTCGACCCTAGCATGCATCAACCTCGAAACTTCCGTGACAACAGCCCCAGTCCCATGGCCAAACAAGGTATTCAACTACCGCATGCACCCAGCCAACCTTGCCCCCATCCTCCACGCCGGTGGTATCGACTATGCCAGTCTCGCCAACAACCACACCCTCGACTTTGGCACCGAGGGTCTCACAGAGACAGTGCAAACGCTACAAGAAGCGAACATCGCTTACGCAGGCGCGGGTGAAACAGCTGATGACGCATGCAAACCTGCAGTGCTACATTTACCTAGAATCTCAGAGCCAGTAGAACAAGACCAACGCTACGCGGTCCATGTATACTCTGCCTCTGACCATCCACGCGTATGGGCCAGCGTATCGGGATTCAATCTATTCGATTACACGCATGACACGCGCGCTCGATTACGGGAAATGCTTAATGTCGAAGAAAGTAAGCCTGCGTTGAAGGTGTTTTCGGTTCATTGGGGGCCGAACTATTCGTGGGAGCCTGATGGACGGATTACGTCTCTTGCACATTTCTTGATTGATGAATGTGGGGTTGATATTGTGCATGGACATTCGTCGCATCATGTTCAGGGGGTTGAGGTTTATCATGGGAAGCTTGTTATCTATGGGTGTGGGGATTTTGTGGATGACTATGCGTTGAATGATCAGTATAGGAATGATCTTGGGGCTTTGTGGAGGGTTGTTGTTAAGGAGAAGAGTAGTGGTGGGATTGGGTTGGAGAGATTGGAGATTTTTCCTACGCGAGTTGAGAGGTTTAGGGCTGTTTTGTTGGATTATACAGATCCTGATCATGTGTGGGTTAGGCGGAAGATTAGTGAGCTTAGTAACGAGTTTGGGACGTCTGTGAGGGCGGCGCTTGGGGAGAAGGGGGAGGTTGTTGTTGAGTTGCCTGGGGAGTAGATTTTAAGTGTATGTAGTGATGTAGTTGAATCGGAGATCATACCTAGGTATGGTTTGAGTGTCCATGGAACACATACTATTTGATGTGATTTACAAGGCTAAGAGATAGGGCCACCTTTTGTCTTCTAGATCTCCGGGTATCTCGGCCTCAGGGAAGTGATATGCAATCAATCTATAATATAGATCTCGACTAGCCAACTTTTAATCCATGGGTGCATCTCAATCTATGATGCAGTAGTGGGGGACTTAGTTCTCATGACAAATGATAAACAAAATATAGGAAAAGAAACACATGTGGATGTCCTCGACGTGAGATTTCAATACTCTGGTTTATCTGGCTCAAGGTGATGCTAGAGCTGTTATACGGAAGATAACACCCCAATGTCGTTTCTGGAAGTTGTTTCTTTTTGGTGTTATAGCTAGCAGGATAGTGATTATCTATAAACGTGCCACTAGGAATTATAAAGCCTCAACCGTAGAGACAAGTTTTGTATGTATAACCAGGAATGTGATATGTTCGCATATTGGACACTACTAATACAATAATGGCACGAGCATCAGATAATGTATTCGGCGTCCCGAGATATACCCGAGGTATGCACTCAAGAGCAAAGTAGTCTGTCTCTATTGATCAGCTTGTCAGTGCGCCTCAAGATATCCCGAGGTAACCGATATGTAAATGATGCAACGCAGCTCTAAACGGCGTTTCGTGGAGGAATAATCCGTGGCCAGTGACGCCCGCTGGCTCATTCCATGGCTCTTTTGTGTGGAGGCCATCCACTTCATTATTTTACTGCGACGATCATTGCGTAGTTTCATAACTTAGCGTTCTGGAACAGAAAACACTCATATTTTGATGACTGCCTCTGGGAATGGTCCCTGATGGCAAACGAGCTACAGCAGAGTGAGCTGGAACACAATACTCCAGTACAGAGTACATAGTACCGAGGTAACAAGGTTGATTCTCCCTGGAGATCAAAATAAAGGAGCAGTAAGGGGGACATACTCTAACCGGATTAGGAAGTGGTGCAAGCGATCACTGTCGATCTACCACGTTCTTCCCTTTCCTCCTTTCCTCCTTTCCACCAAGGTCCTCTGTCCAGCGTCTCTGAATTGTTCAGCAGATATAACCTACGGTTCTACTTGAAAGATATGTAAAATGTGTCTCAACAATGCACATTCACCCACCACCGCATTGACCTCGTCAGTAACCGGACAACACCGCCAGGGCCCTGGATCATCAGCATGCATCAATATTATTAGAATAATGACATTATTCCAATGTCACCCCACTATGCGTGATTCTTCTTCGGCAAAAGGACATCTACAGCCAGCGAAAGCACCGCATACTGGCCACCCAAGTGGGTCCTATGGACGGACATAGAGGCCCGTTCTCTCCTTCCATACCCAACAAGGAAACTCGAAAAGATAGCTCAGGTTTTCTATGATCGACTCTGCCGCCCCATGTCCATCTTCCCCCATTCTGTGGGCCCCTCGCATAAAAACATTCAAACTTCGCTCCACGGGGATCCATATGTGCTGTTCATAGTGGAGGCTCGGCGACTAAATTCCCGCGCTAAAGGCTTCCCGAGAAGTTTTCCCTGCAGGGTATAGGCCCCCAGGCCACATGGCATATGTCGGAGCCATCGCTTCGGCGTGCCAAGGTCTCCCAGCAACTTGGATGGGAGCGTGGGATCACCGCCTAGTGCAGCGCTATTGAGCAAACTATTCGAAATCTGTGGAGTTTCCCACGAACAGAGTACCGAGACTGGGTCATACCATGCATGAAATAGTTCTCCGCAGTTTGCGCAGACATTGATCGACATTGAGATCATGTTCAAATGAATTTGCCCCCGCTCCCTGTCTCCGAGAAGGATTGTTTTCTACTCTGATATCACTCACTTTCCCGGCATTCTTGACCCCAAGTTCAATGCAGTGAGCTGCATCGACTATAGGTCATTGTGCTACCGCTACACTGGGAATGATCGGTTGAAACACCTACACATCATAATACATACGTTCATTTTACAACCACTCGCTACATTTGGCTCTTGGCTTCAACATTCAATATGCACAATTTAATTCATACATTGATTCCTCGAGAGGATGATAATGGTGCCTCTCACGGTCGACGGGCATTGGTAGTCACTGCAGTGCTAACCACAATTTCCACTGTTATCGTCGCAATGCGATTTTATGCACGACTTGGATTGATGAAAAGTACCGGTCGTGAAGATTGGGCTATCCTCATCTCTTTGGTATGTCCCCCAAGAGCTACACTTGGAGCTAAATGATCAGCCCGCTAATGAAACATATGTGCAGATATTTTCCCTTATCTACCTCGCACTCGTCGCTGCCCGTAAGTTCACAATGCACTGGTGAATTCAAGAACCACCCCACTAATATCGATGATAGAACTACATTATAAAATGGGCGTCCACTCGGCACTTCTTTCCAGTCATGTCTTGCAGCAACAACTTAAGGTACAATTCATTCTTTACACAGCTCACCTTTTAGTGTAAACTAACCTGACTCTTCTCAGTGTTTGTGGGCTGCAATTCCCATGTACAACGCCAGCTTGGCGTTCACCAAATTCTCCATTCTTTTCCAATATCTGCGCATCTTTCCCGGCAAATCTTTCCGCCTTGCTTGTTATTTCATGATGGCGGTCGTGGCTACCTACTCGGCGTGGGCCATTGTGAGCGGCTTCGTGAACTGTGTCCCCGTGGCTAAATTTTGGGACAAGGACTTGCCAGGCAGTTGTCTCAACTTCGAGGCTGTCTGGTTCTTCAATGCTTCTATGAACATTGCAACGGATATAGCGTTATTAGTGTTGCCCATGCCACTACTTTCCAAGCTACAGCTGCCCCGCACACAGAAGATCGCTCTAATGGGCGTCTTTGCCATGGGTGTTTTGGTCGTGGTCACTAGTATTCTCCGCCTGTCGAGTTTACGTGAAGTCGCTAAAAGCCCCGACACTTCCTGTACATGACATTCCTCTCCTCTCCAATTCACTGATCAAAAGGCTAATCCGCCAAACAGACAGCAACGTCGCAGCCGCCTACTGGACTGCCGCGGAATGCAACGTCGCCATCATGTGCTCCTGTCTCCCATTCTTGCGACCCATCATCAGCCGAATCTTCCCCAACCTTCTCTCTGCAGGTAGCACCAATCGCAATGGTGCCAACAAAGCCACAGTTACAAACCTCACTGGAACTCGCACTATGACACGTCATACCCAGCTATTTAGCCAGAATCACGATAAAGACTATGATATGTATTCGATCAATGTCTTAACCAAGCCTCATGGCCACTCCAGCCACAGTTCCCTCAATGGTATTGAGGTTACCACCGAGATGAGCGTTATGCAGGAGGAGACTTCAACGAGTCCTAGTGAGCGCAGGCTAGTTATGGATGCTTGATGACTTTTTTTCGTTTCGACACATATATTATTCCTCTTGGTTCGGATATACACGTGAATTTTGATTTCTATGATTGCATTGGGACTGGATACTTTGGCGGAAACTTCTTTTTTTCTTTTGTTTATGGGATTGGGTTTGGTATTTTCATATATATTTCTGTGGGATGGGTGCTACTGACAATTCCGTCTTTACTTTCTCTTTAACAATATCACTACATAAGCTTTGCACAGATCAAGAATGCAATTACAAAATATACTACAGATGATACCAGGAAGAGGCCAGTCAGTGGACGTGTGCTCGTTATTAAATTTTGTATTAATGACTAGAAGCTTCCCCTACCATTGTAGACTACACCCCCGAGCAACTCCCTCAAGTTGTCGGTACGACGATCGTCCTTCTCAGTGGTAGCAAAACCCTACCAGGCCACTAGCCACCACCGAACCAACCATGCAAATGGTGGCATCCACCAAGAAGTCGGCAGAGCGGTCATCAAAACGCTCAGCTCCATGAGTGCTCACATCATTGAGCCAAAAGAATCGTGCCTAATCAAGGGAGCAAAGAAGCTTCTGACGACCACCTTCGATTCAATTCTCGGACTCATTGTGCGAAGGGTAAACATAATCCCGTTGATTACTCACTTCAAGTTTCATGTCTGCTCAGATGGTTGGACAAAACCTTCCAACCTTAGAAGGTTTAGATATGTGTGACATACTAGAGGTTGACTCGGTCGATTACCTTGACGCTAGCTTGGGTGTAAAGACCTTTGAGGGGAGAAAGATATCGAACTGGATACCAGGATCTGGAAATATCGAGTGCATTAAAGAGAGAATTACATGTTGTGAGGCCACGACGAGATAGACTGGGACATGCCCTCATTGTATAGACTTGTTGGGGTAGGTACTGAGTGAGAGGTGACGAAGGAGAAAGTCTCTGATATTCAATTTATGGAATCGCAAGGTATTTACACCTGCTGTCCAGGAAAACATCGTCAAACAATCCCTCAGTCTGTAAGCAAATAAACGAGCATCAATGGGATGGTGAAACAAGCCTAACGTGGGACTACCGACCTACTGCCATAAAGCTCTCTAAGTAGCTTCATAGGAACAATGGAACAATTTGCATATGATTGGGACGCAATAGTGTGATGATGTTGGTCACTGCAAAATCTATTGGCCCTGAGAACGGTATGCTTATATATTGGATGGTGAAATATCTAAGGCCTGATTCAAAATGTCTATAATTATAACACTTTAGTAATAACCAAATCAAGTAACATGCTCCTTCTCCTCCTCCTTGGGAATCCTGACCCAAATAATCGTGACCAACGCAGCAAGCAACTGTGCCGCAAGGGCAAACCACCAAATAGCATGCAGCCCATCAAGACCAATTTCCCCATCGGGGCCCCGACTAACACGGGTCCCAATAGCATCAGCAACACTAGTCATGATCGCTGACGAAAGGTTCTGATTCGTAACCAACAGAGCACCCGCACTCCCCTGATACGACCGTTCCACATTACTAGTAATGAAAATCGAAGCTGCGGCAAAAGCAAGATCAGGCCCGAAAGTTACTAACGAGATACCCGGGAACGAAAGCGCCCAGTAATTGGTATTGGCAGTCTGCGGCAAGAAAAACGCAGGTCCAAGCGTGAAGGCTAGCATAGAAACCGTGTAAATATAGTGACCCGGAACGAGGTGCAGCGTGCGGGCGACGATCAACGTCGCCAGAACACCAACTAGCGCATTGGGGATATGATACAGGGCAACAGCAATGGGGGTAGCATGTTGGATACGCAGCCAGAACTGGATCGCGTAGAACTGCCAGCAGCCGAAAAAGGACCCGAAACCAAGGAAGTACGCGATCATCAACGGAGTGAAGCCCGGTGTGCGCCAGAGGCGATTAGGAATGAGGGGACGAACAGCGTGTCGCTCTGCAAAGAAGAGCCCAACGAATAACATAACGCTAACGATGATTAACACGTACGTGTAAGGCGACCAGGATGCGACGGGCCCCTGCGTTAACCCGAACAGGAGACACACGCAACCACCCGCAGCACAGAAGCCGCCGATATAGTCGAATTGCTTGATCGAAGGGGCTTCCTTTCCGGAGACATCGGCGATGGGTTTGAGGGGTGGAATAGCGAACCAAGCAGCCGCACACAACAGCACGCAGATAATAGCGTTTGAGCCGAAGATCCACGGGAGGTGTTGGTACAGCGCTCCACCTTGGATTGCGCCGAGGGAGAACCCGAAGGGAGCGGTAGCGGCCATTGCCGAGAAGACGCGGTTCTTGCGAATACCGGGTGTGTAGACGCGGCCGAGGATGCTCATACTTCCTGAGACGAGGACGCCGATGGCGAGACCCTGCATAGCGCGCATGACGAAGAACAGGACGTAGCGAGAGGGGTGGAGGGTGAATACGCCGATTGTATTCCATACGGCGAGCCAGGCGAAGGCTCCGACCATTAGGAGTTTTGGTGGCATCAGGTCCGTTAGTGAGCCGGAGATGATGACCGATAGGCCGTTAGCTGTGTTGAAGGCGCCGACGACCCAGGGGAGTTGGGTGTTGGTTATGCCGAGGGCTGTTTTGATTTGTTCTTGTGGGGCGAGCATGTCGCCTAGCAGGAAAGAGAAGAGCATTAGGCCTGCTGAGCAGACGAAGATTAGGATGAGCTCGGCTGTGAAGCTTGAGAGTTCGGGCGGGATGCCTTGTTTGGTGCGAGTTGGGGATCCTGCTTCTTCGTCGCTGTCGGGATGAGATCGGGATACAGAGTCTGCATGTTTTCTGTTTTTCATTTTGCTTGTTGTGTCGAGGGCGTAGCTCTCGTTGATTTCACGGCTAATATCATTGGTAGAGAGGTCATGGAGGGTGATTTTGTCCACAATTTTGTCCACAATTTTGGTGTTGCCCATCAGTGGATCGGGGGTTTGTGCCCCGGTCGCTGGTGTTGAATATGTCCTTGTATATGACATTGAAGACCGGCTTGATACTGGCGCTGAGTCTTCTTGACCTTCTGGAGAAGTAAGATCTAGATCTTGAGGCCCATTGGCGCGGGGGTCACCCGCGTGTGGTTCAAATGACATTGTCAAATTATCAGAGACACGATAGTTATAGGTTGCTATGGGTGTAATTTGAAGAGTGTAAGAAAGGAAAAAAAAAAAAAAATGTTTGAGAGAAAGGTGAAAAACGGCTAAATTGGTGATAAGATGTAGTAGTGGAGTTTGAATTTCGATTTATCCACAAAAAATAAGGTCGATTTTTTACTACATCGATGTCCAAGGAGACACCTCTGCATATAATCCACAGCATCGTGCTCATCTGAATCCCTTGCGGAAGCTTGCGTATACTCTTGAACAGTGGATCTATTCTGTCTTTTTTGAGAACTGGTATGTGTAATGTGTCTAACGAGTCATATCCTCCCAAGCACATAGTCATTCCCACATTGAACCCTGGGATCTTCCACTTCCCTTTTGGAAGTAGAGAAAAAATAAGGTGGCTATCATTTGGAAAAGGTGTCAGAGGAGTAGATCAACACCCGGGATTATGCTTGGAATGCTACTCGAGAATGAATTGCGAATCAAACGTACATCATTGTCGTCCTTGATCGTCAGTGATTGACACGATAATTTGATGCCTAGTCCATCTCCGAATTTTCTATCCAATCGGATGCACGGCATCACGGAATCCGATTTCCGAGGCCGAAGGGACACAGCGGGACCTTGCATCAGGCTAATCTTCGGGTATATTTTCAGACCGCAATTCCCGTATGGTAATCATTGGGGCTTCTGATCTGTACTTGATCTCCAGGATCTCAAACGCTATAGACTTGTGGATGTTCGTCTAAGCTTTGTTGATCAGGATCACCCTACATGCATACGACGTCATATCATGCATGTTCTCTCCTTGCCAAGCTGGGTTTGGACTATGCAGTACATCCTACTAATTTTGAAATTTGCAGAATCGTCTTAAACTGAAAATCTAAGCCATTGCTCTTTCATTATGCTAAATTGAATATGCGAAAGTCTTTATACATTTACTTGCCGAAAACCTTGAAGCGATCCTCAATAGGAGCGAAGGCCTTCTCTGTGGGCTCAGAGTTGGGAACACCAAAGACCAGCTGGGCGTCCAACTTCCATGAGGCGGGGATACCCCAGGTCTTGGCAACCTGCTCATCGATCAGGGGGCTGTAGTGCTGAAGGTTGGCGCCGAAGCCCTCAGACTCAAGGGCAGTCCAGACTGGGTGAAAATTAGTTTCAAATTACATGTTTTGGACCAGAGGCCAAAGAAGAATAGCACAAACCAAGGTACTGAGACATAGCGTTGGACTCCAGGGCGAAGGGGTCGAACTTGTCGGCGTAGATGGCAAACTTCTCCTTGATAGGAGCGAGCGACTCATAGTCGACGAAGAAAAGGACCTGGATTAATGGTAAGCTGACTGTGTTCACCATTTTGACGCTAAATATAGCCAGGCTATTGGGGAGGGGACACGCACGGTTCCGTAGGCAGCACGGAAAGCACTCAGCTTGGGCTTGGTGGAATTATCGAACATCTCCTGGGAGACGTGACCAGCAGCTACCAGACCCTCCATGATCTTAATAGCGATATCCCACACCTTCTGGTGCTCCTCCTTCAGCAGGAGGACAACACGAGAGGTCTGGGTGTTGAAGGAGCTGGGAACGTGGAGAACGGAGTCCTGAACAATGCGCTCAATGACATCGTCGGAGACGGGGCTCTCGCCCTTGAGGTCGTAGTAGGTGCGGCGAGCCTTGGCCAACTCGAAAAGAGTGGTAGTAGCCGCGTTCTTGAATTCGGGTTGAGTGGAGCCCATTGTGAAGGTGTTGAGGGGAGATAGGTGGATTGGTTGGGGAGTGAAGTGGTATAGAATGATCCCAAGGAGAAATAGCAGGGAGGTTTTATACATGAGATGGATTGCTCCATAAATGCCACGGGTGGGATTGGAAAGATCTTTTTCTATCTATTGAGTTCTGTAGAGGGGGGAGGGGGGTAATATCGCCACTTAGAGCCAATCACGGTGTAAGTTGAGTGCGGAATAGACGGTCTCTGCAGCTTCCGCAGGCTCCGCAGGCTCCGCTGTGTAAGCAGTTCACGGTGATGTGAGAAATTACTTGCTCATGGATTATTAATATGCTACTAAGCATATTCGTGCTAAAAATATCTCTATGTGGTCATGCGGAATTTATTCCTGTTTACTCCATATATAAAATGCAGTGCGAAGATGCTTATGTGGAATCCAATCAAATTTTCAGCGGACTATTCAGTTGCTGACATCCAGGGCCTATCTCACCATAGGTTCCAGCTTTGATCTGGCTACTATCCAAATGACATACCCATTTCGGTCAAAATAAACCACTCAGTTTCTAAACCAGAGGTATCTCGCGCATGACAACTCAAGTTCAAATCCAGAACATAGCGCCAGCCACAAATCCACACAATGCGACGGGCGCAGCCGTCTTGACAGCGTGGTTTTTCATCGCCAATGGGACAGTGACAGTGGCCCGAGCGGTCTGATTTTGTCGGCAGTCACATTCACAGTGACACGGAACAGCAGTAGCAAGAGCAGTCACCGTCACCGTCGATATATTCTTGCCAGCCGGCGAAGTTCCATTACCGAAATAAGTTGGACCACCAGGTGTCATGGCTGTCGCATTCAGGAACCCAATTGCAGTCACACTGCCATCAGCGGAAGAGACAGAGCTGACATCAGTTGTCGCGGTCGCAGACACAGTAAAGATTGCGTCACTAGTTGAAACATCGGAATTAGAAGAAGCTTTGGTTTCAGTCATGCTAGTAGGCGCGGGGAAATCTCCAGTATCTGTCACGATCAACGTTGCCGGGAAAATCCCGAGAGTGGAGTCAGCTCCCGTGGTTGGAACGAGCACTGTAGCCGAGTTGATAGCATTATTACCATGCGAGGACTGTGTTTGTGTGCAGGAGGCACCTGTGGGGGTTGGAGATCCCATCAGCGTGCAACCTGAGGTAAAATCGAACTTGTAGCCGTTGGCAACCATATCATATGCTATATCTACCGTCAATATAATGTCCTGTTTGGGGGGATGCTATCTTTAGACTTACTATTGGGTCCATAGATAACGGTCAGATCTAGACTAAATCTGTGGCAAGCTGGTTTGTCCGATAGACAGTTGATTCCATAGGTTGTTGTTGCATCTTTCTGCGCTAGTTGTTAGTGATGGATCACAGCAAAAGCAGGTACAATACATACGGCGCCAATGGCCTTGCCTCCATAACCCTGGAAGTAATCCGGTGCATCTGTGACCCATGGGATAGTCTGTCCGTTGTTAGTTTATTAAGTATCGTAGTGATTCTGTGTGGGAGGTAAACAAACAATTGTCGCGTCTTCGTGGGCAAGCCCGAGAGCAACCCAGCAAAGTTGGATCACCAACGCCAGAAGATACCTGAATATCATTTTGAAAATTAGCGACGAGATGTTGAGACGCGTTCCTGGAAAAGATAATTTTGAAAAGCAAAAAATTGTTGAGACGCGAGGTTTTGATCTGAAAGGCCATGCGGTCAGAAACAATGCACATCAATAATCGAGCAAGGCAAATGGAAAATACAATAGACAATATAGATCGAATAATTGGAAAGAGCGACTCACATCTAGACGCCTGGCCAGCAAGGCGTAAATATTTCTTATTTTGGTATATACAGAGTTTGAAGAAAGAGGTCTTATTATTGCCGCCCATGCAACACTGCCCATTCTTGCTTCACTGAAATCCCAGGTTCATTCGGCTTCTGATCCATATCCCTGCGTTCTGCAGCTTCAAGGGATCGCTTGCTCCTACAACACACCTTTCTCGTATCTGTGAACCTTTCAACTGCGACGCCGACTTCATGCTTTGGCCCAATCGGCCGCAAACACAGCTCACTCGAGTCATCCTGCAGCGGCTGAAACTCGCTATCGCCAGTAGACCTGGACCTTCTAGACGGGGACGAAGATTTATGGGATGGGCGAGCTGTTAACTCGGGTGTGTATGTGGAACGCCCCAGGAGGGGGCGCATCATAGGGACCGAAGCGAGGATGATAGCAAGACAGGGCTCGAGGCCGCTGAAGATGTTCGCACGGGGAATTGAGTAGGTGATGTCGGCGAAGTCCATTGTGGAGAGTATGGATATACGAAGAATGCTGATGATGCACGTGCTATATTCCAGGTTAGCAAAGAACTTCTCACTTTTCTTCCATCGGTTGTTGTGCAAATCTTACACTGCTCCCAGTCCGAAAATAGTGATGAAGGTCACTTTCTTATAGCTGGCCATCTGCAGGTTATACAACAGCGGCATAGGTATGGCCAGCACGGCAACATCGGTAACAAGATTTATCACTCCCGTCACCGTGAATGAGGTTACCTGGTATCCACATGACCCCCCAGGAATAGTCTGGTCCCAGTTAAAGGCAAAGGGCCGACAGATCAGACACCCAGCCAATATTGTCCCAATAGTCCAAGCTATGATCACACCGATTGTTGTCCAGGAGATTCGCACGACCCAAGTGACGGGGAAGATGCGAAGATATAACAACAAGATGGAAACTTTTGTGCAGCTGAGACTCAGAACCCAGAGAAATTGTAATGGGATGATCAATTTGAGAAGTTTGGTGATAGGCTCGAGTCCATAGATGGTTGCAATTGAAGTGACATGGTCATAACCGATGCCCGCTTGTATCACGCCGGTGATGCTGATGGACTGGAGGCCGACGGCGAATATCTGGATCGATTAGCATAGTTGATACTGTCTGACTTGGCAAATACTCACAGTGGCGGCAATTAGAAAAAGGTCACTCGGGGTCCATTTTTTATGCGCAATCTGGTGAGCTAGCAGTCGCAGACATACTGCGATCACAGCTAGGATAGAGAAGGTGATAGCCACGCCTAGCACCTGCTTTTGGGCTTGTGTCTCTATAGGAAATGTCACAACCATCTCCCATTCTTGCAGGGAAAAACGAATCGCAAAGCAAAATAAATCTGCAGAATGATAAATACATAATCTGACACCCAGCTAGCAGGGATGTCAAACTTAGCCTCGGGGATTTGATCCTTCGACCCGCCCAGGGGTAATCCCAGTTTCGTTCGGCGGATTTTGGCATCAGATGATGTACATTGGGGGAATAAGGGAATAACTCATAGTATGAACCAGTATCTTGATACATTTTCGTAGCCGAGTTTAGATTAACGGGAGGCTGAAAGACTAAATATGTCCAAATTAACATTCTGACGTTTAATGACAATTTCCATTCGGCATTTGAAAGCTCAACGGTTGCTCGTTGGCAACATCCTCATTGGTGCGCCAAGTGCCGCTTATGCACTAAGGAGTCAGTTTATAGCCCGTCGCCTTTTTAGTGCGTTTTCTAGGAAGCCGAAGGAAATACACCTTGGCGCCTTAACCGAACTGTTGCAGGGGTGCGTAAATTCGAGTTCAAATATCGAACGTATTTTCCTCCCCACATTACTATAGCCGATATGGCTTCCACTCCTATCGCGGTCGCGGTCGCATTAGGCCTGTTGACACTGCTCTACATTCTCAGGAAACAAAAGAGAGAAGAAAAGAAACCACTCAAGCTTCCCCTGATCGGCGACCTCCATAGCTCCCCCATTGATAAACCGCTTCTAAACTGGGACGCATGGACGAAGGAAAATGGCCCGGTTGCAGTACCCAAGCTCTTTGGGCTGATACCGATTGTGGTGTTGAATTCCTATGAGGCTGTGACTGAGTTGTTCAGCCGGCGCAGCCAATGGTACAGCAACCGTCCACCCTCCGTCAGCATGGAGATGATCACAGGATCTGAACCTGGGCAGTCGAAGTTCACTCTGATGCATGACTATGACGATCACCTCAAGTTTCACCACCGCATTTTGGCCCCCAGTCTGGGCGCTCTCGGTGCCCCACAGTACCACCCCTTAATGGAGCTCGAATCCAAACAGTTATTATTTGATCTCTCAAACGCCGCACGGGAATTTCCCGACGGAATCAACACAAAAACGATCTATACGCAGCTTGAGCGCACTCAATCGAGTGTCATACTTGCTCTGCATTATGGCCTGCGCATCCCAAAATTTGAAGATCATATCTTGCATGAGATCATAGATGTTCAGACGCAAGTAACCTACCTCGCTGCGAACCCCGGTCTTCCAGATATTATCCCACCTCTGCGTCATCTACCGACATTCTTGTCACCATGGAGGCGGGCGGCCGATAAGCTGTACGCCGCACAGGTGGACTTGTATATGCGCCTGTTCCGACAAGGGAGGGACTCACCGGGCTGGAACTCCACCAAGCAGGCCATCACAACAGCGGAGAAGTACTCTGAAGATGGTGTTGCAGACCTCGACCTCGCTTTTACTCTCGCAACTTCCATCCAGGGAGGTATGGAGACTTCACCGCGGCAGATGTTGTGGTTGTTCATTGCAGCACTGCACCAACCGTCCTTCATGGCTAGGGCGCGTGCCTTGCTCGACGAGGTCGTCGGGCGTGACCGCCTCCCTCGGTTCTCGGACCGTTCGGCGCTGCCTTTCATCGATGCGATTATGCATGAACTTTTCCGTTGGCGGCCTATTTCGCCGGGGTCGATTCCTCGTAGGGCTGATCGGGATGACGAGTTCGGTGGTGTGAAGATCAAAAAGGGCGTCACTCTCATGGCCAACGCATGGGCCATCAGTCGAGACGAGAAGGTGTTTGATCCCGCGTTAGGAGACACTCATGATTTCGTGCCTGAGCGCTGGCTAAGACGTGATGATAACGATGAGGAAAGTCTGCGAACGGACCTTCCATTGCCAGTGTTTGGGCAGGGTCGCCGCATCTGCCAAGGAAAGAAAGTCGCTACGGACGGATCCTTCTTGCAGGTTGCTTGTCTATTGTGGGCGTTTGATATCGAGCTCGCTGATGGGGAAGAGGTGGATCCGTGGGCGATGGTCGTGACAGGGTTCATGACAGCGCCGAGGGATGTCAAATTCAAACTCCGGCCCAGGGGTGACTGGGTAGTCGATGTTATTAATAGAGAGTGGAATACGGCGGAGAAAAGTCTTGGAAAGGTGATGGGAACTGATGTCGACGTTGATAGTAGATGATAGGATGCCAAATGGATGTTCCATGTTATGATTATATATATCTTAATTTGCCCCGCATTATTCTGCACAGGGTTACGTGAATAGTTTGCCAGAATATGGACTGCTACAGGCTAGAAACTCGGATATCCTTCATATTGGCGTCATCCACTGCGAGGTAATTATGCGAAAGAAATGAGAGCCTAGCTGCCACCCTTCTACGCTGGACTTGGTACAACCCGACAATCATAGGGAATTTCTATCGAAGTACACGTCGAATAACGAAATTTTACAGTATCACTCCGAAGAACGTAACTTGAGGCTGGCATATCATATAACGTATTTCACCCCCAAGTGGCGCACACCCCCAAGTGACGCACCCCATCTAACCCATTAAATTTAAATGCATTTATCTCAACCATGACGCCATTAAATTAATTCAACTAACTGAATGGCCTATCTGGACATGTCTCTCTTCTGTGTCCTGGCTTCCTACATATTCCACACCCCCGGGGGGGGGGGCCGCGTACGTGGCTGAATAGCCGATTCTCCAGGTATGCTAGGGCCGGGGGGAGGTCCTTCAGTTGCCTCCTGTTGCTGCATAATTAATGCAGAGGCTTCTTGAACTGAGAGGCCTTCTTCGCCGGGTATCTGCCTTCGAGATCGAGTGCGCTTTTGCTTCTGCTTCTCGTTAGCGGCGCGTAATTCCTTGTTTTCTTGGGCGAGTAAGATAGCACCTTGCATTGTAAGACGGAAGCCTTTTATAAGCTGGTTTAATGCACGATCTGACGGGCTAGGCGGGCTTCGAGATCTTGTACGAAGTAAAGCTTTGATTGATGAAGCCTGTCGACGTAGTTCTTTCTCTGTAGCTGGTGTTTTTAGCGTAAAATTTCGACTTGATTCACTCCCCCGACTTGGGGGGGGGGGGGTAGGGGTTCGAAGTCGAATATTAAGCTTCGAAATCACTTGATTAGGTGTAAAAGGTACTAAACCAGCAGCTTTAAAGCTATTAATAATAGTCTCCGATTTAAAAGCTTCAGCTCGTGCAAGGGGGTATGCTTCGAGGAAGTCAAGTTTATCAATATGATTGATCCCGTTCCGCATCTTAGTTTTAACCATCCGACCGTACGATCGTTTTAATACCGCAAAACAGCCCACATTAAGAGGTTGTAAAAGATGTGATGAATGCGCTGGCATATAGATTAGTATCACTTTATTTCGCTCACAAATTTCGTCGAACTTAGGTGTTAAATGACTTCCGTGGCCGTTAAGTATTAAAAGCCGATACCGTCCCTTCGTACGTAAAGAAGTCGAAGGAATAAAGAGCTTTTTAAGCTAACGAAGTCCGATTTCATCAGAGGTCCAGCCGTTAGGACTAACTTCGAAACGCTAATCCTCCGGGAGGCCGTTAAACCATGATTTAATAAAGACTTTGCCTTTAAAAATCATACACGGAGGAAGGGCCTAGCTAGAAGCATTCGTACATTTAACCACTGTCACCCATTCACGATTTCTAGGTTATAAAACCGGCCTCCGACTATAGTATTCACTCCTCGTGATAACCTTCGCAGTTATAGTTAATCCCATCGCGAAACCAGTCTCGTTAAAGTTATAGATATCATCGGGATCGATTCCATATTAAAGGATTATCTTTTAAACTAAATTAAACCACTCCCTAATGATTTTAGGGTCTTCACATTTCGCACGCTCGTAGTTATACCGTTTCGAGAATCGGGAGGAGAGGATAGGATGCCGTTTCATAAATTTTGTAACCCAATTTTCGCCGACCGAAAGAACCGGGGTAGTTCCACGTTGTTTAAGGAGAAGATCCGCCATTTCTCGTACCATAGAGGGCCGGGGGGCTGCTCCACGAGAATCCATAGAGAGAATCCATTTTTCAAGAGATTCCTCTTCAGTTTGTGTCAATTTACGTAAATTGACACGAGAAATCGCGAGGTTTGGTATACCATGAAGGCGGCGACGGAAGGTGGATTCGGGTATATTAAAACGGCGTGCCACTTCACGGATTGAAGAGATTTCTTGATTCTTAAAAGCCTGGATAGCTAGTAAGATCCTACCCTCTTGCTCTATTGAATTTTTAGAGTTTTGGGGGCGAATTGGTGGCATGGTGGGTGGTTGAAGAAGAAAGGGTTAAATTAATTGACGCGTTTTGGATGGGGTGCGTCACTTGGGGGTGTGCGCCACTTGGGGGTGAAATACGTTATATGAATAGACCATTTGAGAGCATGATCAGCAAGATACCATTTCAACGGTTGCATGTGTGGTCTAACTTGCATACCAGCTTCTGTATTCTAACAACTAGACTAAAAAATCCATGTACATCTAGATTTGACTTCCCTATAATATTTAGATAAACCCCCAAGTTCTTCAATATACCAGTCTAGCGGACAAGAGCCCGAGGGCTTATCAGTCGTTAGATACGGATGATAGGAAGACCTGACAGGTAGTAATTATGGAGGGGAGTAAAGACTGCTGAGTGTAGAAGTCCGGATTATTAGACAAAAGGAACAGCAATGAGCTGAATCTACGGTACTACATTTGTCCTGCTCCAATCTCTTCTGGACTCACCTGTTACAATCTGGGCCTCTATATCAAGCTTATGCTTGTAACGTGTTGTTAGGCCATGGAAGACCTAATGCACTTCAAGCATACGTAGGTAGCACACGTAGTTGTGCTATGCATAAAGCCCCAATATTACCTTCTTCATGGTGAAATGTCATCATCGTCTCGACTAATGCGGCCTTACTTCCTGCCTTTACTAACGAGTTTCTTCGACTAATAAACCGAGTGCCAAAAGGAGATAATGCTGGATTTCTTCGTAAAATGAAAATAGTTGGCTACCAGCCCTCAAGACCGAATAATGAATATTTGTATAAAGCAATATCTAGTTATGGCCCGCTGGAACGGCCTTGAAGCAGTCTTCATAGCTCCAAGTTTATGGAATGTACGATGGCTTTTACTTACTCGGTTACGTGCTGCCTGATAAGCAAAGCAATTGTTCTGTCTTCATAATATGGGAAGCCAGCATCTACACTCGTACATAGAGTGCCGTATGACTCGCACAGAAGAAAGGAGTAACTATAGCCAACACTACTCTATGAGTCAATTAGTGTCGGATTTGAGACTCAGCTCCACTTTTCAATTAATTTATCCAAGACTAGCACGAAGCTGCGTGTGTAGATTGTTTTTTTCCAGTATAGTATTGGTAGGAGTATAATATATACTTCCTCTACCTCTGAGCCTTTATTGTCTCAAGTTAGCTATAACTACAAGTCATCCAACAAAAAGGTAACCTAATACACACATCAAGTCTCACAGTTTTTACTCAACATGTTTGCCAGATCATGACTTAGCGAGATTCTTAGATTGTTTATATTGCAACTAAATGAATTGTGTTGTCTGGCCGCCAAACTCCAGTTGATTGGCGGGTAACCCGGGGAGCAGTCCCCACTCACGTTCGGGGCCAAAAGACGGTGCGTGTCGATATACGTCCACTAACGCTTCTAGTGTATTATCTAGTGGAGTTTGTTTTGTGTACTCCTGATCGACGATCCAACATCATGAGAGTTTGGTGATAGTACCGAATACCCGGTGATATTAGCTCAACTGTGGGAACTTATAATAGCATGAAATGCCCCAGAAATCTTACTCTAGACGGTAGCAAAAGGTCCAAGTGACTCTTCACACATTACTCCACCATGCATATCACTCCCACTGTTGCAGCCCTCTGCGTTGGTGCCTTGTCAAAGGCTGCCCATGCGACCACATCGCAGAATTGCGTCAGTTATTCCAAATTATTCCAACTAATAGAAGCACATCAGCTGACCATGTATGAATCGAATAGTGCTCAGAATTGGAAGCCACTGCCCTGAAGAGCCAGGTCACCTATCCCAACAGCGCCGCTTACAAGACATCGATCGACTCGTACTGGGCCGAGAACGTTAAGCTCGAGCCTACCTGTGTCGTGCAGCCACGCACTGCCAAAGAGGTTTCTCTCGCCGTTTCCACACTCGTTGCCTCTGATGCTGGGTCTTGCAAGTTCGCTGTTCGCGGTGGTGGTCACACTACCTGGGCGGGAGCGAGCAATATCGCCGATGGTGTGACAATTGATCTGTCATTGATGAATACCACCACCTACAACGAAAAAGCTGGTATTGCTTCTATCCTTCCTGGATCTCGCTGGGGAGCTGTCTATGATACTCTGGCGAAGTACAATGTGACGGTTCCCGGTGGCCGCTCTAACGTTGTGGGTGTTGCTGGATTTTTGCTCGGCGGTACGATACAATCAGACATGCTGTACTGGAAAGTGACTGATAAAGCCCTTTACTACAGGTGGTAATACTTTTCACACTTCACGTGTTGGATTTGCTTGTGACAATGTCGAGAACTACGAGGTTGTTTTGGCGGATGGTACCATCATCGAAGCCAACAGGAATTCTCATGCGGATCTCTTCAAGGCTCTGAAGGGTGGATCCGGTAACTTCGGAATTGTCACCAAGTATGACATGAAGGTCATCGAAGGCGACAAACTTTGGGGTGGGCTTGTCACATACGACAATAGCACTAGCTTGAAGCACCTTGAAGCTGGTCACGAGTTCATCAACAACCTCGGAAAAGACCACTACGCTTCTTGGATTGGTATGTGGGAGTACTTGTCTGTGACTGACCAGAATATGATTGCCAATGCCCTGGAGTATACCATTCCTGTGGCTTACCCCCCGGCTTTTGACAGCTTCACCTCTATCGCCAATACTAGCAGCTCGATGCGTGTTACCAACCTTTGGAACCTTACCGAGGAGATCGTTCAGGCATATGGATACCGGTACGTCATTCCTAATTGTTCCGCTGAAATATGAACCACTGACCTATTTCAGCGACGTTTTCGTCACTGCCACATTTGTGAACAACCTCGATGTGATGAAGAAAACTATCGAAATCCACAACCGGATGATTGAGGAGGCTAGGGGGAGTACCAAGGGCGACGACTACACCATGTTCACCATGATCCAGCCTTGGCCCAAACTGTTCACCGATCACAGCATTAAGCAAGGTGGCAATATGCTGGGCCTTGACCGTTTCGATGAGAACCTGTTCCGTAAGTCTCCCTCTAATATATCTTGTTTCCGGTGTCTAACACTCCCACGCAGAGGTCCTAATTGACTACTCGTGGAAGAATGAGGCCGATGATGACTTGTTCAACAGACTGGCTAATAGTGCTCTCGAGGAGTTGGTCAACTACTCAAAGTCAATTGGAGCTAACAATGAGTTTATTTACCTAAACTACGCCAACAGCAACCAAGATCCTCTGTCGAACTACGGCCGCGAGAACGTGGAGTACATGCGTACCGTCGCTAAGAAGTACGACCAGGCCGGTGTTTTCCAAACCCAGGTGCCTGGCGGGTTTAAGATCAGCGCTGTGGGCCAGTGAAGGAGGGGTGAGACATAAACGTGGAGGGACACCGGGTAATTTGACATACTCTTGTCGATCTTGTACAATATACATTCAAGACATGGATTGTACAACATACGACACAATCTACCGCGTAATATCTTCGTAAATGCATACCCGACTCGCACGTCGGCTAGACGCCGCCGTGAATTGGAGAACCATCAAATGAGCCTACATCCCGTGTGTTCACTCTAATTCCTGGCTAGTTTCCACATACGTGGTAGTCTATCATGTTGATCCTGCCTAAGTCTCGCTAAAAGAAGGGTTATGCGGAGCCCAAGGATGGTGGCGGACTAGGCCGCCTACAATAGCGAGATCCGAAATTGATATGTGGAGCTTGTTTCAAACCAGGAACCGATAGCGTAGATCACAAGCGGGTGGCATACGATCTCATTGTATCGTGCCGGGTGGGTCTTTACGATCGTGGCCCCCGGGTCGGGATTAATCTATGGTGTTTCACGAAATACGCAAAGGAGTAAAATACAATTAGTTAAGGATGGATATACCCCAGGAGCCAATGACGGCGGGCGTATCCGGGAGTCCATCTTGAATGCCATGCACTATTGAGAAATGAACAATGCAATTATCATCGCCCCCAAATCGAGCCAGGCATGTTGCATTTGAAAGATCGCTGGTTTCAGGATAATGGCTGCTTTGAATGCAATTCATGCTTAATGGACTATATCTCTCCCTTTTACCGCCCGTGAAACCTGGTGTTGGTCGAGACCTCACTGCATCGTCGATTTCAAAATGCCTGATCATGTTGGGGTAGTTGAGCCTCCGCTAGGAGTCATAGCCGACTTTGATTACTCGAATCCATGGCTTTACAAGACCAACATGACCCTAATCGGTGTCGGATTGGTCTTAAGTTTCTTGTGTCTCAGCCTTCGGATATACACCAAAACGAAAATATTACGCAAGTTCGGATGGGAAGATGGTAGGAGAAGTTCTCGAAAAATGGATATGGGGAGAGTTTACTAACACGGTCGAAACAGCATTCATTGTGCTCGCCTGGGTAAGACTCGACTTAATACCACTGCGAACTCTACTTACACATATGATTACGTACAGATATTTTCTCTTGGGACGCAGGTAGTTTCCATCTGTATGTGCCCTGCATTGGGGATTGGTGATGCCATTCGAGGCTTTTGCTGACAGCGATCATCATCAGATGGATACCTATATAGCGGTGTTGGAATTCATATGTGGAATGTCACGGAGGAGATGTTTGCGACTTACCAGAAGGTATACGACTATTACCCACGAAGTTCACTTAAAAGATCCTGGTGCTAACCTTTGTCTCAGATTATCCTCGCTGCCGCCGTCGTATACGTTCCCGCGCTCGCCTTTGCAAAAATGAGTCTCGTATTCCTCTACCGTCGAATCATGGAAAAGCAGGAGGCTTACAACTGGGCACTCAACATTATATCTGCTGTCGTATGTGGTTACAGCCTTGCCCTTGTATTTGCGTTGATCTTCGCATGCAATCCCATTGCGATGAGCTGGGATTTGAGCATCACAGATGGGACTTGCATCAGCCGCCAAGGGTTGTATATCGCAACCGCCGTGACGAATATTGTGACCGATTTAGCATTGATCTTACTCCCCATCCCCCTGGTGGTTGGACTCCAGATGCCAGGAATCCAAAAGTGCTATCTGATCTTCGTCTTCGGTGTTGGCTGCGCGTAAGTCTTCCACCATGCTGCACTCACGCTCTCTGAGCCGCTGACCATTCTTTAGAACCGTTGTGACCAGCATCCTCCGTCTAGCAACGCTAGTTCCCTTCCTCACTGCCTCGGATGCCACTTACGAGTTGGCCTGGCCACAGCTCTGGATGTATGTACAATCCCCGACTTGGGCAATATGAAGTGCTTTAGACTAAGAAAAGCACCTTTCTCCAGTAATGTGGAAGCAAATCTTATTGTCATATGTCCTTGTCTGCCATCATTGCGGCAGTTCTTGAGACATCACGCCCCAGAATGGTTGGGCGAGGCAGGCAGCAATGCACGTCGGTATTTCACACATTCGGGTAGTGCTTCTCGCAACCGGTTCAAGTCGTTAGGGGCTCGTCAACCGGATGAAATCACACTTACACAAAACGGTGGGAGTATCAATAGCAGCTCCCGTATTGTTAAAGAGGTCGCATGGAACGTAACGGAGGAGCGGTTGGATGACGATTCGGATGGTCATGTCAACGGAAAGCCCGCCCATTCCTTTGGATAGGAAGCCTGAGGGGTTTCATGGATTTCAAACTGCCCATGCCGCTCACTTGTGGTGCCTGAGGTATCCAAATGGTACATGAGTACCCTGTACACTAATTTATGGGTGGGATCTGTTTCATTCTGGTCGCTTTCGAGTGATCGATGTGGATGGGACGATGCTTTGGTATCAATATTAATGGGTCATGTTTTGGTCTAAAGAAGTCAGAGAATGAAAAAAGTGCACATCTCAATTTATCCGTGGAGACCAGGAATCGAACGCATGGGTTTGAGAGACGGTCTTTCCTCCTGTTGTCGTTCCTTCCTAAAACAGGTGTCTGAATAGCTTCATTTTTTGAATTTATATGTACGTACCCGCGGGCCAAAATAATTTTCGACTACCACCATCGCATATTCAAATTTATTTCAAACTCAGCGGAGATCATTCTGACCTTGTCTATATTCCTCCTTCCAAGTTTGAAGCCATCACGACACCAGAAAGGTAGGCAAATTGTCATTTTAATATTGGCCAGGGACATCTCTTTTGAGTTTTGCTCCTATTTAGCAAAGACAAGAACTAATATTTCAACCAGCCCCCCCCAGTGGCCCAGCGGTATTATGGCCGGGGCATCCCCAGGATGTCGCAACGGGTTTTACTTGCTCCCCACTGTCGGTCGGACTCCTATATGCCAAAGCTCTCCCGAAGCACTACGCTAGGTAAACCCCCCGCGGACTACCACACGCGGTGACCCCGTTAGTTAAGGGGGGAGACCGTAGTTAGTACGGTGAGTGGAGGTGTATAGGGGAATGGCCGGAGGAGAGGACCATGTATATCGTGACCACACTCTGTACATACCCTCCTGAGGTCCAGGAACGGTCTGGATTTATGGGGACCTTTTTTTGCTTCAACCTTCTAAGGTTGTACTTAGCTTTTCCATATTGATGATCTTATCCAGCTTCCTTTCGCTTACCTCTCATTCATTCCTTCTTGTTATCTATCATCTTGGTTTCATGCTTTCTCACCCCGTTCCATCCTTGAGGTTGTTTACCTTCTTTCCCATTTTGATGCTCAATCCCATCCTTGTCTCCCAACGGCATTCATTTCCTTCCTTCCCGACATCCCCTCGATCTTGATGCTAATTTCATGTCTTCCCCACTCAACTGGAGATTTGTTTACCTCGTGCATTTGTCTTTCCCTTGTATCGTGAATGGACCTGGCGTTTCTTTATCTCTTCCTTACTGTACAAATTCCTCCTTCGACCTTTGAGCCCTACTTGCTTCCGTTCCTACATTCATTTTGCATGCTGACGCTGCATTTCTGGTCTGCTGCTCCATCCAACCGGGGTCGTCATTTCCTGCAGGCGCTTCTCGCTATGTGTCCCATGAGCAAAATGTACACAACATCTTTTGGTCTTCATCGCTACGTGCTATTTGCACTCAAGGAGCCACACCCTCAGATATGCAGCAGAAATTGACTGCGCGCCAGTCGAAGATCCAGAGAAACAAAATACCAGACGCGGGCCAATGCACCTCGACTCCATGGCGGTTGGTTGAAGCCTGGTGAACCATCTCAACAACCCGGCATTGATTCCGCTGAAATGATTTCCACTAGCGGACTCGACGATATCGTGATCGGCGTGGTGTCATCTTCTACATACCTAGACTTCAGGGCAGTCAATGCTTTGGTTCACACATAGCGGCCTTGACTGTGGTGGGAATTGGGCCTTCGGACCAGTGCTTGGCGAAAACGAGAGCGTTGGAAATGCTTCCTATCTTCAACTGCAATATCCACACTATTACTCAAGGGACCACTTCGGATGCAACAAGGGATGTTTAGCACAGGCGAATAGCCATGTGAGTATCACCGAATCCCATGCACATTTTGGTCCGCTGAAAGTTGACAGGCTACAAGAAATCGGTTATCCGGATCACTTGGTGTCCCATTATATCTCGAACCCCACATATTTCATGGTTGACAATCTGATTATATGTTCGAAGCTCACCGGCCAGCTGTACGGAGCAGCTGACATCGTGTCCAATAATCGAAAACATGCAGTGTTGATTGGAGGGTGTACCGATGAAGAAACTCTCCGTATCATACACAACAGCCCCAAGCCTAAGGTTGGTTCCATGCAGCTACAAGTATCCAACCTATATGTGCCTCGGACTACGAGCAACATCTAGGCGACCGACAGACTGCTTATACATGTTCAAGCTATGATCCCACATTGATTCAGAATTTGCACTCACTTCCTAAATGCTCAGTAGACGTAACGGAAAGAAGGATTCTCCCTATCAGTGAGACCAGCCCACTTGGTCTCATCGGCTATGTTCTCATCAACGCAGCCCTTGGTCTGATCTCTGTGACGGTTTTGCCACTTGTAATAAACAAACAGCACGATAGAGAGTGCAGCTGCTGCAGCCTGTGTTGCAAGAACAGCAATCTTGGCCGGTTTATATTCCGGTGCATCGCGTGCCTGGAATGTCTGTGGACCAATGATGTTTCCGACCGAGAAGGATCCAGCAACGAGTGCGCTAGCAAATGCACGCTTGGTGTGTCCGGCGCAGTTCGCCATGGTCCACTGGTATAGAATCGGAAGAGTAGCCACAATGGCATTGACCATGTAAATCCCGATCAGGACACCAGCCTTGTTGCTTTTCGGTAGAAAGGATAGCAGGGCTGCGCCGATGATTCCAGGAATTGTACAGAGTACATTCCATGCCCAGCGATTTGAAGTTCTCCGGATGCCAAACCCGACGAGAAGTGTGAAAAAAATGCTAATAATGCCCCCCGGGGTATTGAGAAGGGCAGAGATGGGGCCTGAGAAACCAAATCCAGCAATTAAAGTTGACGAATATGTTGTCACCACACCGCTTGACACGGAGATCTAGTCAAGATTGGTCAATATAACTGCAGGGGGTATTCGGAGCAAGGGATGAAATATGGAATGTGATACACACCAAAACCGTAATCACAGTCAGGATCCACAGCTGAATATCGCAAACAGCCTCTCGGATTTGTTTCAGGTTCAAAGTCGTGCTCCACACTCCGGTCTGGTTCTCGCTGACGTGTTGGAGAAGGGCAACCTTTTCGTTATCAGATAGCCAGGGTGCCTTCATCGGTGTATCCGGGATGAAGAAAAACGTCAGACCGCCGACAACAGATGTTATTAATCCAAGAACAAGAAACATAATCCGCCACCCCTCAAGTGAGGCATGGGTTACATGTTGGAAGCCGAAAGATATGAGACCTCCGATAATTTGGGCCACACCGAGACCCATATACCATACAGTAAACCGAGGAGCTTGTTCGCTTCTGGTGTAGTACTGGCTGCTAAGGAGCATCAGGGATGGACCTACTGTCGCTTCAAAGATGCCCAGGAAAATTCGTGCTGCCAGCAAGCTCCGATACCCTTGGGCGCCGGCGGAAGCGGCAGCTGCGACACCCCAGAGGAAAACATTTGCTCCGAGCCATTTGGCTGGTGGTACTTTCTGCAAGCAATATACTGCAAATTAACGCTTAGCAGTGATCATCAAAGGAAATTGTGTCGAGGTAGATCACAACACTCACCATTTGGTATCTCCGCGATCAAGTAGGCAATGAAGAACCATGACGCGACATTAGAAAAGTCATTTCCGACGAGTCCCAAGTGTTGTTTAATTCCCATAACAGCCGCATACTGCATGCATAAGTCCTTGCGTTAACAACATGGCCTGGACGGGTGAGTTGAAAGTCAAGCTTACGTTCAGCATGACCTTGTCCAGAAACTGCAGCACATAGCAGCAGAACATATAGGGCATCAAATGTAAATCGACTTTACGACGTAGCGCCCGGAGATCGACTTGAGAGCTGGGCGCCACATCCGCATGGTCATTGAGATATACCACAGCATCATCAAGTTCATCGGAAGGTTGTGCCACCACCTTGGGTTCGGATTGACCCATCGCAGCTGGGCAAAAATATGGCAATGGACAAAGCAGAATATAGACAGTAGGGAAGTTGGAAAATGGACAAGAGAAGAAAATTGAGGAAAGGCTAAGTGGGAAAAGAATGTGGGATACACAATTGTTTCATGCGACCAAACCATAAATAATAACGTTGAAACCAGCGTGGAGATTGCGTGGCTACACGTTTTTTTTTGCATTCTCCAACTAATTATAAACAATAGTCGATGGCCCTAGAACCTTTCCTTCTTAGGAAAATCGAGTGGAAGGGATGGAGCTAAATTCCACTAACCTAGAATAACCTTGCAACATCGGGCGAGTACGGAGTCCGAAGCACAAACAAAGTACACGGCCAGCCTGATCGGTCTTAGTTCAAACGTTCATTGTGGCAGGTATTTTCGAATTATTGAATTTCATTGTCCTTGATGGTCTGTTTACCCTGGTAGACGCCGGATTGACCATGTCGTCTTTTATAGCCTTTATACCCCTTCCCTCGTTTTCTCCTCAACGATGGGCTGGGTACATAATGCCTCGCCTGAGGTTGAGGCTGCGTCACAGTACCGCCTCATCCTTGGAATATGTCTAACGCTCACCATATTAATGGTGCTTACGGTTACGATGCGACTTGTCCTTCGAGCGCGAGCCAGTCGATGGGCAGCGGCGGATTATGTGATGGTTGTTAGTATGGTGGGTTAACCTGCGACGTGATACAAGGGATAATACAACTGATTCTTGAGCAGATATTTTGTGTTATATACAGTGCACTGTGTATTGCTCGTGGGTACCGCCAGCCCTCCCCTCGCTGTAGGAAGCTTACAGTTGCAGAAAGTCGATATGGACTAGGACTTCCCTTGAAGCTACGACCTGAAGCGAATTACTTGGAATATACAAAGGTCAATATTCTTTCGCATCTATTTCAGTTTGATTCGTGCTTGTTCCATTTGATTGGGAAATTGACATAGGGAAAATAGATCAACTACGCAGGACGGCCTATTTACCAAGTTGGCATTGCAGGGTTCAAGGCTTCGCTCTGCCTCAGCTATCTGCGGCTAATCTCTGGAACCTCGAAGTCTCGTTATCGTGTTGCGATTTGGGTTGTGATCATAGCATCTACGTTGGGTCATTTCGCTGGCGCTCTCAGTCTGATGTTTAATTGCACCCCGGTAGGCAAAACCTCTGTCCACAAGAGACGCACTCGACCACAAGTTAACAATAACTCGCCTGCATCAGGTTCGCCGGTCATGGAACGCTCACGTACCAGGCACTTGTCTTCCCGTGGGAGGGCTGTTCTACGGTCTCGCAATTTTCACCATTATCACCGATGTGACGATTATCGTGCTACCGATCCCATTGCTATTGGCTCTCAATATAAAAACTGCTCAGAAGGCTGGTGTTGTATGCCTTTTTCTCCTCGGCCTCTTCACCACGGTCTGCTCAATCATGCGATTGACTCAGATTCAACGTGTGGCATTTGGAGACGGAAACTCGACAATGCTTGTGCTATGGGGAACGATTGAGTTCAACGTGGGCGTAAGTGAATATGACCAGTTGCACGCAGACAATAATGGCTGATTGATCTAGAACATTGTCACTTGCATTCCATACCTGGCCCCTCTACTGAAAGGCTTCGTGCGTGGACTCGGATCGACCGGGGGAAAATCGAAGAAATATTACTATGGCAGCCAAGGCAGAAGCTACGGAATGGAGAATTGGTCGAAAGATCAGCATTCCCACCTGCAGTCATCTGCATCCGGGCCATCACAGCCGAAACGAACGCCGAGCGAGGAGCTCATTTTGGATAGTCAGGAGCCCGCGCATGGGTGTATCGAGATGACGATAGAGTATAGAGTTTCTTTGGAGGACAGGTCAACCAAGCAGGAGACTTGATCCGCGCCAATTTTTGGCTGTACTCTTTAGGGAGTACTCCGTACCCTGTATATTAATTCATTAATAAAGTTCCCGACTACTTCAAAATTGGATTACCTGGCTTTTGCCTTTTTTTCTTTTTTTTTAACTTCCCCTATACACCCCTGCTCTTGTGGCATTTGAGTTCACAAGAGGCATATAGTCGCGAAATCTGTGAAACGCCAAGCTCTCTACTATTAGCTAACAAGGGCGATGGAGAAAATCTGCGAGGTTCCATATGGCATCCTTCTCGAAGACTTGATTCAAATTCGACAGTCAAATCTCGTTCAAATCTCAGGATCGATGTAGTGCGCGGACTTTCGGGACCCACAAGATCAACGGGAGTGGACACCGACGATCCTAAAGGACGAAGTACTCCGTACACAGATAATGCGAGGATAAGAGTCCGGAATGTTTAGTCGGTGAAATATGCAGGCAAAACTTTAGGCCCCAAATTCGCTCAACCATATGATCCTTGGAAGGAATCCGGCGTGTGAGCTATTCTAATATGGCCAAGGATTAGTTCTAGTTTAATATCCGTTATAAATTTCTTCCGTCGCTTTGGCCCCCCATTAAAGCTCCGTAAAATGGCGCACAAGGGTCCAGCCCCTATAAAGTCTTATTTCCATTTTGTTAGGTACTCGATACAACATAGAGAGGTATTTCGCTACCCGTGTCCCTAAGGCATGCGTTGACTGACTTAAGCCAGGGCGGGGTAAAACAGGAGAGTGGCATAAATTTTGAGTCAAATTGCTTGTAGAACGTACACCATCATGTCCAATCCTCCCATTCTGATCATCGGTGCAGGCATCAGCGGCCTTGTATTGGCTCAGTACCTTCGGCGCCATAATGTTGAGTTCAGGATCTTCGAGCGCGACTCCGCAGTCGATGCCCGCAGTGGTGGATGGGGTCTGACTCTGCATTGGTCACTCCCTGCCCTGCGTGAACTGCTGCCAGAGGACATTGTTGAGCGGTTCCCAGAAACTTTTGTCAATAAAGAAGCTTCGGCCAAGGGCGATGTCGGTCGTTTTCAATTTTTTAACCTCAAGTCGGGAGATGCACTATACAATGTGCCTGCCGTGGAGCGTATTCGCGTCAGTCGCGTTCGCTTGCGACAGTTACTGACTACCGGCATAAATGTCGAAGTAAGTCGTGACATGATTATTTTGGAATAATTTTATTCTGCTCGTGCTCTTGGTGGGGACTAACGCCGTGGGTTTAGTGGAATAAAAGCCTTCAAAATATCGAGTCTACAGCCAATGAAACCACCGCGCACTTTCAGGATGGCACAAAATACCCCGGACGGCTGCTGGTCGCATGCGATGGTTCACGCTCGCGTACCCGCGAGATCCTCTACCCAGACGCACAGATGAACCAGTTACCAGTTCAGCTTCTGGGTGCATCGATACTGTACAGCCCGGAGGAGATGGGCGGCGCCGAGTCAATCGACCCTTTCATCTTCCAGGGCTCGCATCCTGACTCAAACGTGTTCCTCTTCTTCAGTTGTAAGTTCGCCAATTGATGTTGTATTCTACGCGTTGCTGATGTCTTTAGTTCTGGATACCCCGCACAACTTTGAGGATAGTAGCAAGGACCGTTACCACTGTCAAATCATTATCTCCTGGGCGGACTCACAGGGCATCCCAGTCCCAGACTCAAACGCCGACCGTATCGCACTGATGAAGAAGTTGACCGATAATTGGTCGGAGCCATTTCGCTCGTTGGTACACAAACTTGGCCAGGGCGTGGAAGTGCGCTCGATTCGCATCGAAGACTGGATGTTCCGCCTGGGCAGGGCGCATGCGCATCCCCGGGTAGTGTTGATGGGGGATTCGGCTCACACAATGACTATGTGTATGTGTCCCTTTTTGTCTCAAGAGTACGCAGCCGTGGCAGAACGCGCATGTCTAACTTCAACTAGTCCGCGGAGAAGGCGCCAACAATGCGATCGTCGATGTGTTGGATCTCGTGAAGCGTGTCGATATGCACAAGCCAGGGTATGAATGTCTAAACATGTCTGAGTCTGTTTGATTATGCTGATATTAATCATCGCCATTGCAATAACCAGGTCCTTCGATACCGAAGCCTTGAAATCCTCCCTCGCAGCCTACGAGAATGATGTCTTCACACGAGCAGAGCCAAGCTTCCTCAACTCTAGACAGGCATGTCTCGATGCTCATGACTTTTCTAAAATTGAAGGAAGTCCGCTAGTTGGGTCACGAGATTTGAGGAAATCGGGCTGAAGTTATTGGGGTCGTAGGAACGAAGGCGCGTACGACTGCCAGATATCTGTCACTAAGGGACTTCATTGAGAACTCAAGTAATTTTCGTGGGCGCAATGGATCAAGCGTCAGAGACAAAAAAACAGAATAGTATATCAACTGGCTGATGTCGAGATTAAGACCTTGGGATGTTATTAGCGAACTGCTTATCAGTGCCAAGCCCTGGACAATCTCCCGCCCCCGACCTCTCCACACCTTCCACTTCTCCTGGCACCAACGGAAAACCTTGGCTTGGAGTTATCAACTCCTCAAATTGAGAAAGAAAATCAGGCATGCATATGTAAGGCTAACAATGAACGTTACCGCGTCAACCCCAGCGGCCAGGGTCCGTGTATCGCAGCGTCAGCCACAAGCCTGCCGAGGTAAATGCCCTCTGCAGCAACTGTCCAGTGGGCGACTGACATGATACAGAATGCACGAAGCGCAAACGCAAATGCGACAAACAAAACCCTTGTTCGAGATGTAAACGCTTAAATCTGAAGTGCTCGATAGAAGTCGTCCAGCTTAGACGCAATGCCGTGCAACACGGGTCAGAGATTCAATTTTTGCAATCGCTTGTGGCAGACCTCGAATCATCTCCATCTGATTCAGCTCCCCTTGTTCAAAAGATTAAAAATCGAGTATTTCGGCTGGAGACCGGCCAAGATCCCGCAGAATCAGATGTATCCAACACCCCCTCGGCACAACCGGAATCAAGTGCTGAGGACCGTGCACCTGGCAAAGTGTCACTTAGTGTAACTGAGAACACCTCAAATCAAATTGACTCCTCACTGCTCACAGCGATTGAACATCTTGCTTGGGGTCGTAATTCTGCTGGATGCTTCCCCCACAGGACATGCTCCTGCCAGTATCGCAAGGATGGACCCCAATCGCTATCAGGGACAAGTCCTTTCCTAGCCCATGGCCCTAGTCTGGAGCTGAACTCTGCTTTCCCCAGTGCTATGGATGCCCAGAAGCTGATCAAGTTTCATCTATGCCACCTGGCGTGGCATCACAATTGCATTCACGGTCCAACATTTCTCGAACAGTGCGAGTTGTTTTGGGCAACTGGGAAATTCGATGACCCTCTCTGGCAAGCGCTCTACTTTTCTATCTTGAGTTCCACTGTGAGCTCCATACAGGATAGTGCGAAAGTAAGAGAACTTGTTGATGTCGACCTACAGGCAATACAATCTACACAGCAGCTGTTCTCTGCTATGGTGCAGACACTGTACAACTCACATTTTCTCAGCAATCTCTCCATATACTCTGTTCAAGCAATCGTCATATCGACCGAGGTTGCCCATAATCTTGGCTTGAGCCAGCTGAATGCGACTCTATTCAATGCTGCAGTACGTATTGCCGAGTGCCTTGGGATCCACAAGATTCAAGATCAACCAATGAAGGTTGCTGAAAACAAAGATCAATGGGATGAGAAGGTGGAACGAGAAGTGGGGAAGAGGGTATGGTGTCAAATGATCATCCAAGACCATTTCGCCATTCCCTTTACCGACACCTACAGTATCTCTCCGATGCATTTCTCGACAGGTCGCCCCATGAACGCTGATGACTATGACTTGGTGGATATGCCTATCACAACCCCCACAATAAGCACTTATATCCGCGTGCTTGTGAATCTTGCAGAATTGATGCCCGGCCTAGTTGACGGACTCGGTCCAATGAAATTCAGAAAGCCCATGCGAAAGCAGTACGAACATATTCTGGATATAGATCAGAAAATGAGAGGCATTGTGAAAAACATACCCCCTTTCTTTCTGCGTGGAGATAGAACAAAGGAAGCGCAAATCCCATGGCTTGCTATCGCTAGACGAAGTCTCGCTATCACTGCAGCCGAGAAGATCATCATGATCCATCGGCCATTTCTCTTCCGCTCTTTCAATGACCCCACATATATCTATTCACGACGTACCTGCGTTGCTGCTGCGATGACAATTCTGCGTGAGCACGAGGTGATCGTAAGAGAAGGGGATATTTCCATATGGACCCATACAGCATTTGCGATTACCGCTGCAGTCATTATGTGCTTTGAAGTCAATGCAACTGCAGAGAATCAAGCCAATATCGCACAAAGTCACAAGGACGCAATAGTCGCAGCTCGTACCCGCCTTGCTGATCGAACTAATGACGTCCTTGCTCAGCGCGGCGTCGCGTTAATCAATGCAATCTTTACTTCCGATACAGCCTCGGGTCCCGCAGGACTTGGAAACAGAATGATTGATTTTGGTCAAATTTTGGCTAAGTTCTCGACTTTTACGAGAATGAATCTAGGTCCTGAAACCCCTGACACATCTGTTAGCAGATTCTCAAACTCAGATCCTCAAGACGTGATCGGTGCCCATTTCAATGAAATGCAGCCAGCTTGGGATACAGCGGAAGATATCGATTTTGACGCATGGTTCAACGGAACATTCCACACTCTACATGATCCTCTTCAGTTTTGAGAAAAGCAAAAATTCACAATCGCTCAGAGCTACTCAATTCATTGAGCTATCCTAGCCATTGATAGTTTTATCTTGTTTTATACCCTCACATACCCCGTGTCGTTGACCCCCTCATAATCCCGGAAGGGCTTGGGGGGAGTTGTGCTTGTCATTGTGCATTGCCAGAGCAACCTCCTCTTGTCCTCTTCTTCCTTGTACTTGGCTAATTGACCAGTAATACTGTGCATGACACCCCGGTTGTGGAAAATGACCACGTCACCCTCTTGCCAATGGTGCGCATAAATGTTCTCAGCGGCATATATCTTACTCTGCATCTTGTATACCACTTCTCTAACCTTCTTAACATCATCCATAACCGTGATCTCACCGGTCGCTGGGTTTCGGGTGGTGAGCTTGTAAACGCAGCAACCATGCACCTGGAAGAACGGCCGACCGAGATTGAGCGGGTTTCGCCAGACCATCTGTTCAACGTTGTCAGCCGGTACTGATTTGTGTCGTGCAGTTGGAAAAGCAACTTACTGGGTGCTCGGCAACACTGCCCCATTCCCATTCCGAAAAGTCTTCCACTGGTACCTCACGTCCGAAGTTCGGGATCGTCAGGCCATCCTCGGACGCTTTGCATTGGCTGATATACTCGTATGCTTGGGGGGCATATGTGACCGTGGTATTAAGAGCAAACTCTTGTTCCTCCGGCGTCAAGAGAGAAAATACACGAGCGCCGGAAAAGACTGTGTTCGGTCAGTTGGTGGACCTGTGTGTGATTCTTCGGTTTACTCACACGCCGTGGCTCCAGCACCGACAGTCTTCTCTTTCCCATCTGGGAACTTCATCTTCTGATCTGGTACATTTGGAATGCGAATTGAGTGCAGGATAGTCACTTCACCTGGCAGACGCTCATAGAAAGGGGTATCCATGTGCCACCGGTAGGGACGGGTATATCCATCATCTAATTCCTGTTGACTGAGAGGCTCCTCGTGGAACAATGTGTGATCCTGTCTCACTGGTCAGCCAAATCAATGTCGAGCAGGGTCAGACGGGGGAAACAAACAAGATGCACGACCTCCAACTCCTTTAGACCCTCATAATCTTGGAACTTCCCCGAGCCAATGATTCCAACCTGGGGGGCTCTGGGAATTCTGCCTGCTTTGTATGCAGACAAGATATTTTTGGGGTCGCTGACAGCTTTCTCTCCTGCGGAGTGAACGTCGGATGCATTTGGATCGAAAATCTTGGCGAGTTTTGGCAGGGCGGTAGGGTCAATCCCTTTTTGGTTTCTGATGATAATGACTTGATTCTCGAAAAGCGCTTTTCGGAGAGTGTCTTTGTCGTTGTCGGTTAAGCGGTCCAAATCCAGCATGGCCATTCCTAGAGGTAGTTGGATTTCCGCGCCAATCGCGGAGCTTTGTCTGATTTCATCAGGGAGGAGATCAAATGTCAGACTTGTTGATTCGAGCATTTTGTATGCCGAATTGTTTGAACTCTTTTCAACGGGCGATGTTGGTTATATTGTCGTCGTTGAGTATACGGCTGTCTTTAAACAGAGACGGGATGGAACAGAGCGGACCAGTCCGCTTATTTGTACCACCATTCTTGATAAGAACAATCTCTCGACTTTCTGTGTTATGAACGAATAATGCTTTTGGTATTCATCATCTGAACAAGTGGATTGGCAACAATACTGGTGTCATATCTCCGGGGACGGGTCAGCTGTGGGATCTCACCCGCTCCACTCTGATTGGTTCTCGTGGTACCATGTATAACAGAACAATATAAAGCACATGCAGACGTTCAATGGTAATATTCATATCGATCTCATCCTCACATTATTCCAGCTACTTCTTTCACAATGGCAACCATGACTCTTTCTTGCAGCCCTGTCACCAAGCGCGATGATTCTCGGGTAGACTTTGGTGCTGAACTGACTGGCTTTGACGTTGAAACGATGACAGGTAAGCAATGCCCGAAGCAACTGTCCTCAGATCAAATGCTGAGTATCATAAGACGATGACTTTGACTTTATCCGTCGTACCTTGTATGAGAATCAAGTTGTCGTGATCAAAAACCAAGGCAAACTCTCCCCACGTGCCCAGTACGAGCTCACTCGACGCTTCGATCCTTCCGCCGGTGTCTACAGTCATGGGAAATCGATCGATAAGCGCAGCGTGCTCCACGCCGACCTGACAACCATCCCTCACCAGCCACAAGTTCAAGTCATCGGCAGCGGGTTCGTCGAAGAGTACGAGGGACTGTCGAACATCCGTCTGAAACACCCACATCACAATACGTTTCACAAGAACCCCATATCACCCGAAGAAGATCACGACTATACGCACTTCTACCGTTGGCACATTGACTCGGCCATGTACAATCTTGATCCACCTCTGGTTACCACGCTGTTAGCCGTCAAAGTCCCCAAGGGCCGGCGCCAGACGTGTCGCTACGACGACGGCACAGAAACTACTCTCGACGTGCCTCTTGGAACGACTGCGTTTTTCAGTGGATATCGCCTTTACGATATGTTGTCCGAGGAAGATAAGCATTTCGTCCGTACCAGCAACGCTGAATACGCGCCTCATCCATACATCTGGATGAGCAAGGCCAAGTCACGCTCAAATGGCTTGGGGATTATATCAGAGGGGTTGGAGCTTGCTGAAGACCAGTTGCCTCCGTTCGATACTTCAAAGATCAGGGTATATCCTATGACTTGGAAGAACCCCGTTACTGGTAAGCTTGCAATGATGGTTTACCCAACATGTGTGCGGAAAATTCATGTTGAGAATGGGGAGGTGCTTGATGATCTTGCGGAGATCCGAGAACGACTATACAAGATGCAGAGACGGGCTATCGATCCTTGCTATTTGTATACTCATGACTGGGAGGAGGGGGATCTAGTGCTTTTCAACAACCATGGTGTGATGCATTCAATTGTTGGTTCGTTTGCGGAGGATGAAGTGCGGGTGTTCAGACAATGCAATATGGCTGCTAGTCGACCTCCTTTGGCGCCAGATGATAGCGTGCGTAATGTTTAGTGCGTGAATGGACTGAATAGTCTATCTTGAGCTTCAACTTGCGATTTATCTTCACTACAGCTAGAGGAAATCCCAAGGGCAGCGACAAGTGACGAGCGAAATAGAATGTTAGTTACACAGCCACGATATTTTGGATGCGTGTGATGACCTCTCCTTTCACGCTGCCGTCTGTACCTGGCCAGCCTCGCCTACTCCAGCTCAATCTGCTGGTATTGAACGGCCCCGGCCTAAATGCCAGTTTCGCAATTGAGGGTTTGTGTCTGCATCCCCTGGCATTTCTCAACTTCGAATGTGAAGTCACGGCTTGTGCTTTTGAAACCAAAAAATTCCACACAGATCAACGACAACAGGGCGATGGCCGTTTGAATATTTGCTTCATTGCTTAGGACAAGGAGACATTAGTCGAACATCGTACTTATCTCTCCTGAGATCTCCGTAGGTCATTTCTTCTTCCCACTAGGGCCTGTGCTCTCGTATTATTGAGATGTTGTGCTGTGATTTTTCCCCGGCTTCAGACTCGTGGCATACCTCTATCCATTTCTCCACGAAAAGGAGGATAACTGAGAGATGAGGTGAGGGAGACAGTGATAGAATCCTTCAAAGGGTAACAGTGGCAGAAAGAGATCTGATAATCCAAGTGAAAAGTGAAATCATAGCCTCTGATGGAGTTTCACATAGCTTTTGACACATCTTTTCGCCTTTCCTGAATGCGATGATGCATATAAATTTGCATCACACCCTGCGGTATCATAATGGTTTATGATCACACACTCAACAAAACGACGGCGATTTCTTTTGCTACTCCTATGATAATTAAGGCAATCCTCACTCCTTTCTCTTTTTCCTTCATCTCATCATCCCATCTCACGCCGTGGTCTTCTCACCTGCTTTCTTACTTCCAAGCTAGCAAGATGGGCTTGTAAAAGATAGCCAGTCTGCACTATGCGTGATATATCCTGCTAACTGACCTCAATAGCTTTGATAAAGACCCCTAAGCTAATGCAGTCGACACCCCATTTCCCGCTGCCACTTCTGGTGTCAACAACGAAGCTCCGAGCCGATGCCCCGAAGTTCAACAGAATGGAAGTGACACCACCATCCCCGCTGCCACCGCTACCACTGCAGATCAGCCTCCCGGTGGGCTGGCTGCTCACATCAAGCGACTCGACTACAGCATAGCCCAAGTAGGAGCTAGTGGCATCCTCTTGTGCGACGCCCTTGACGCCATGAGCGTGATGCCAGCGCAACGTGTTCCTATCCTTCGCCCAACGATGTTCTGGACACGTGCGACCTTGGACATAATTATCAACAAACGCATCGAGAAGGTTGAGTCTGCGCTTTTGCAGACTGTGGGTACTCGTGCCCAGTACCCATGCGATGCCTATCAGCGAGGCCGTGGGCCATGAAACTTATGTGTGGTTCTCGAGGGAATTTCAGACTTCACTGTATGCGCTGGATGTCACTTTCGGGGAAACGACAGAAGCTGCACTTATTACCAGCCACCTCCAGACAGCACAGGAAGTCAGCACCAAGGCCATGAACAGCGCATTTTAAGGAGCGGATTAACGAGCTCGAGCAGCAAGCCATAGGACTCAACATGAGGTTTGACAGAACCATACAAGAAATAGAAGTCCTAGGCTACGCCACTGGTGGCAACATGGCCGCCGACGAGACTCTTCAGAAGATTGCGGTGATACCCGAGGGTTTCCAACTTAAGTGTCAACAACTTGCCCAGATTCGCGCCGACATCGAGTTGCTTCACCACCATCAGCAGCCCAGAATTTCAGCCGCAACGTTGAGCAGCTCTAGCGAGAGGTTGCCGCGGCTGCTGCTATGTTCGCCGACGCGTGGCCCGTAACCGCCGCCGTGGCTTTCGATGAGTAGTTCCAAATCGTTTCCGCAGATTCTCGTTCAAGGTGATATTGTTCTCCTTGAACCCACCACTCATAAGATCAAAGGGTCAAGTCAGTGGTTAACATGACGTGAAATGAACTTTTTTATTCCATACTTTTCACTCCGAATATGTAGTATCATAACCTGGTCGGAAACTACAATTCGACGCCAGCTTTTAGAACGTCTTTCTGTATATTTCTTTTGATCGGTCTCCGTATGTTTGGCTTCTGTAACTTGGCACAAGAGTAGTCTGACATTCGTCATCATCTATCCATAATCGCGCCATCACCGCATTGGCCGCTTCATTGGGTTTATATGGAGCATTACGGATCAGCCTGAATTCCGAGCTGCACATCGAACGTTGCATAGATCAAGAAGATGATATTCAAAATTCAGTGAGGTGAAATGTAGATATCCTAAAGAACTTACTAGATCATTAAAAAAAGAGCGTCCTCTAACTTCTTCTATTTGAATATCATGTTGTTCCCCTCCATAATGACAAATTCCTCTTAATAATGACAAATTCCTTTATACTGGACTATAGAGAGACGCGTAAATGTACCCAATAATTAAGCCTCTTTCTTAAAGTGGAATAAGCACCTAAGTCATTTCTTTGATCGGTTGAATTTCACGGCGAATGCACTACGAGAAAAATAAGCTCATCAAGCCGTCTCGACACGCCATAATTTAAGCACTTGCCACCCGGGGACAGCGAAGTCTCCCCGAAGATGTGCCATACTTGGCATTGCGTAAATTGCAAATAAAAACATATTCTTATGAGCATTTGTTTCAAATGTTGTTTCAAATGGTGCATTTTTTGCAAATTAAATTTCGTTGCATTGATATCAGGAGCATAATAATAAATACTGTAAGGGGTTGGAATGCGGTGAGGCAACCCTACCAACACTGAAAACATGATAGTTAGGGGCTTGCTATCTAGTTTTGCCAGTGTGCGTCTGCAAGTGTTCATAGCTCAACCGGTCATACCATTAGTATGAAACCTTGATTTAGCCCAACTCTAAAGCTTTGGCGTATTTCTGTCGGAGCAACTCGGTGCCATTCTGGGTGGATCTATATACTGGCGTGCTTAAGCCAGACTAGAGAAAAAGGACCAGCTGTGAACGGATAAGAAGACCTCTACTCGCAGTGTCTTCTATCCCCCATATCATCGCTTTTATTTTACGGAACGCAGCTTAAAAGTATTTTAGCTATGGCGAGTTCTAAAGATCCTGCGAAAGATCCGAGTATATCGCAGGCGACGGCACCAGATCTCGAATCCGAACACACCAATCAAGATCCGGGGGAATGGCTATACAAAGCCGACAGAGCAGAGCTCACAGAGCTAACACCAGTTGAAGCTTTTAAATGGAATGTGGAGGGAGATCAATCGCCTTGTAGGTTGACCCATATATCCCACCAGCGGGTGTTAATATCTCTTAGTTCCGGAGGTTGCGGCTTGTGTGTCCAACAAGGATGATCCCACCATCGCTTGCAATAGTAAGTCCTTCATCTGCTCAGTTAAGTGATGAAATTAACTCTCCGGCGCAGCTGTTCGGGCCTGGATATTGATGACGATCTTTGTTATACTTTTCTCCGGAGTCAATCAATTTTTCGGCTTGCGATATGTATGTTTTAACCTGCGTCAATTGATACTTACTAATATATATTAGCCTTCCCTCACAATAGGCTATGTTGTAGCTCAAATCCTCGTTTTCCCAATTGGCCGAGCATGGGAAAAGCTTCCAAGATGGAGGGTTCCTCTAGGAAAACTTTCATTCGATGTCAACCCAGGAAAATTCACCATCAAGGAGCACGCCTTCATTGTCATTGTGAGCATAAGCAAAATTTCAGCATGGATCACATCTAACGAATTAAATTAGTGCGTCAATATCAGCGCTACCACTGCCTATGCGCAAGGTGCCTTGGTTGCAATCGTCAGTCCTGTATATTGGAACCGCGATCTCGGAGCCGGCTTCTCATTTCTATATCTTTTGACAACCCAGATGATTGGGTATGGCAATCCTGAGCTCTCTAGTTTCTTCGGTCACTAATTCTTCCTAGATTTGGTCTCACGGGTCTTGCCCGCCGTTGGATTGTGTACCCTGCTGCCTTGGTCTGGCCCACTTCACTCTCATCCACCGTTCTTTTCCGAGCACTACATGAGCCTGAAAGCCGTACGCCAGCCAATGGTTGGACTATTAGCCGGTATCGCTTTTTTGCCTACGTTACAGCATTTGCATTTGTTCTATTCTGGTTCCCAGACTACATCTGGACAAGCTTGGGCACTTTCGCTTTTGTGACGTGGATTGCGCCTCAAAATCAGAAGGTCAATACGATATTCGGAGTAAGTTTGCAAAAGGTTTGATCAGTTCCTACATCAAGCTGACGCCGTGGCGCTCAGATGAATTCCGGATTAGGTTTAATACCTATCAGCATCGACTGGACGCAAATTAACTACGCTGGTTTCCCCCTTATGACCCCCTTCTACATCACATGCAACGCCTTTGCTGTTGTCGTGTTCTTCTACATTTTCTTATCGCCAATTCTGTATTACTCTAATGTTTGGTACAGCGCATAGTAAGTTTCTACTCTGAAGGAAGGGGCTTTAATATACTGATAATCCAGCCTTCCTCTCCTCTCGTCAGGCACCTTCGACAATACAGGAAGTTCATACAACGTATCTCGTGTGCTCGATGCAACTCTAGACTTCAGTGAGAGCAAGTACAAACAGTACTCTCCAATGTATATCTCAATGTCTTATTCTCTGACCTATGGATTGTCTTTCGCTGCGGTTACCGCCATCGTGGTGCACACCTACCTCTACAATGGCACTGAAATTTGGGCCAGGCTTAAGAATGCACAGCATGGAGGTGAGGATGTTCATCGTCGACTGATGCGCCAATATAAAGAAGTTCCAGAATGGTGGTACGGAGTTCTCACGGTGGTTGTATTGGGACTTGGTATCTTGACGACCAGATACTGGGACACAGAGCTGCCGGTCTGGGGCTTTATCGTGGTTTGCTTCGGATTAGCAGTGCTTCTAATTGTGCCTGAGGGTATTTTGCAAGGCACGACAAACCAGCGCGTGTTCCTAAATATCATTACGGAGATGATCGCTGGATACGCCTGGCCCGGAAAGCCTATCGCTAATCTGATGGTGAAATGCTACGGCTATAATGCAGTAAAGCACGGTATGGATTTCGCTCAAGATTTGAAGCTTGGTCAATATATGGTATGCTCCTTTTGCCTTCTGCTTGTCGAATTGTACTGATTATTTAGAAAATTCCTCCACGTGTTCTGTTCTTTGGCCAGATTTATGCTAGTATTCTAGCGACAGCGACTCAGACTGGAGGTATGATGTTATGTCAAATCTGTGTTACGATCTTGAGCTAACCAGAACAGTCCTGCGATGGATGATGGGACACATTACTGACCTTTGCGAACCAACCAATAAACAACGCTTCACATGCAACGGTGCCAAAGTGATGTACAACGCTTCCTTAATTTGGGGCACTATTGGTCCGCAGCGGATGTTCCAGTCTGGGCAGGTGTACAATGGGCTTGTCTACTTCTTCCTCATTGGGGTGAGCTTTCAAACATATTGATTTGGCTTTCCTTTACTGATTCACCAGCCCGTCGTTACTGTACTTGTATACTTCATTTACCGCCGTTACCCCAACAGCTGGGTTCGCTATATCAACGTTCCGATTTTCTTCAATGCGGCGGGTAATATCCCTCCTGCAAACACCAGTATGTTTCTCTGAATTTCTCTGATGGCGGTATTTCAGTCTAACCAAACAGCCCAATACTCCCTCTGGTTCATAGTTGGTTTTGTGTTCAACTACCTAATCCGAAAGCGCGCATTTGACTGGTGGAAACGTTACAATTGTGAGTTTCTACTTTCTCAAGTTTCCTCTACAGAGAACAGGTCACTTATTCACGACCGGCGTAGATTTACTCCAAGCAGCCATGGATACCGGCACTGCCATAGCGACGATCATCATTTTCTTCGCGCTGGGGTACCACGCTATTACTTTCAACTGGTGGGGAAACACGGTGGGATCCAATACGGCCGATGCGAATTCCGTCCCTTGGTTGACTGTTCCCAAAGGGAGCTTTTTCGGAAAGGGGCCTGGCGAGTTTTGATTCAAAGTTTGTCTACAATCGAATCCTACAACGCACTATTGGCACCAGGAGACTATGTTATTCCTCCCAAGAAATTAAAGCATCAACGGGCCAAGGATTGACGTGTGTGGTTATACTGACTCCATATCCTACCTAACCTTGGAAACGGAGTGGTTTATCAAATTCAGCAATGTTTAGTTAAATTCTACCCATTGGATTAGATTATGATTGAAAAAGCTGATCTCATTTGGACAATGACCGACATCAGTGCATAGTGGTTATACCGAGATCCATCTCAATTAGTGATCATCAAATGATCATCCCCATAAAAACGGGAGAAGAAAAAAAAAAAAAAACAGATAATAGAAGTGGAGGCAAAGATCGAATAGCACTGGAAAGAACTACGGTGCAGGCCATACGGAGGGTGGTGATCGCTGATCGCAACTGCTGCAGCTCTCATACAAAATGTCCGCGAAAGAAGGTAGGCTCAGTGGAAGGCTACACTGTAGGTACTCAAAGGCTAAGGGAGAGATAATATTATCAGATGATGACTGATGAAAGGTGAATGAGGAGGTGAAGAGAGGAAGCAGAACAATGGAAAGGGGAGAGAAAATGAATGAAGGGGACGAAGGTGTTAGTTACCTTTATTTTGCATTCAGATTGTCATGTATAATTCCTCTATATTCTATAGTTCTGAATCCAGAGCCCTCGCACTTTACATCCATCTGGTATACATCCTAACATTGTATTCGTCAAGTACGACTAGAATTTCTTCTGGTACTTCAACTTCTTTAGATCATCAACGTCTTCGACCCGGATGCGCGAACTGCGGACATCGGGGGTGGCCAAGATCATCTCGTACACATTCGCAAACTCCGTTGCCTTCGTTACCCCATGCTCCACAGCGAGCTCGTCTATCTCAACACGGAACCCAAGGTAGATTTCGTTGAAACGGACGTTCGTAGACTCGTTCTCACGGGCGGCGGCCGTAGTCATGGGAAACAAGGCGCCTTGCGTCATGGCCGGCACCGGATGAGTTGCCAAGTCGCCCTGTGACCCGGTGCAAATTGTCCATGTGCTAGCAGGGTTCTTCTGTTCCAGCAGATAGCCAATGGTATCCCGGTAGGCGACTGCAAAATTTCCGTCAGAGGATGTAGGGACCTAAGGGTTGAAAGGGCTTACAGAAATTGGCTTCAAATGAGATGTTGAAGTTCCTGCGTAGCTGGGCGGTGGTAATCTCCGAGAGGGGGGTTGTAGTGTACTCGCCGCCAACTTGGAAATGTCAGTGAGTATTGATCGAGAGGATCGAGGGAACCAACCGCTAGAAAACACATGCTGGAAAGCCGGCAGCTTCCCCTCTCGCACTTGGTCAACGACACCCTTTACTCCCGAGTCCGAGAGAACATTGGCTTCGACGAAAGTAATTCTATCCGATGACCCAATGTACTTCACGAGTTTGTCTGCCGAGCTTTGGTTGCGGACAACAGCCAAAACGTTGCGCTTGGAGCGCAAGGCAGCGGTGACGGCTGAGACGCCGATATTTCCAGTGGCTCCGATGACTAAAACGGTCTCCATGATGGCTTTGAACGATACTGATGGAAAACGAAAAGATTTTCAATTTGCATTTATATTATATTATTTTGCCTTAGGATGTGCATAAAGGAGCTTTAGCAATTCTTGATGACAGATAAATGCACGTGTCGGTGATAGTCGGTGTCCGAAAGACGCGAGACCGGCTGGTGATGACGTATCGAGATTGATCAGGGTGCCTTGTAACCTCTTTTACCTCATATGATTTCAAAATACCAAGCCCGACAACTCAAATTAGACCACACCTATTGCGCGCTCAGCTGGATTCTCGAAACCCCTTTTATCTCTTCTTCGATGGCACTGTCGTATTGTATGGGCACCCCGACGGTCTGTCACTACTAGAGGTTTCTAATGACTAGTAACCCAGTTAGGTAATGTTGAGTTTGGGCTTTAGTTGACGACGAATACTGATGAGGAAGTATACTAGAAGTATAATCTAATATCTCCGGTCCTATGTTCCTGCTATCCGTATACCCAAATTGAATTGCTGATACCTGTTGTGGTGTTACATGCTTGGTGCCTGGCTTGTTAGGCTTCACGTAACTAGTTACGTATTCGGTAAGCGAGCTGGCCATGTAAGCGGGCTGGCCACCCCAAAATGCATAGTAAATATGATAAATTACAACTTGATATCTCAACGCCAATACTTTTATTTGATTTCACTACTTGTCGATAGCTATTGATAAGGATTTTGAATACTGTGTATCAATCTTAGGGATATCAAAAAGGTACATTATCAGGGTATTAAAAATTACAGTGTTAAAAGCCAGAAATATATATATCGTAACCATAAAGATTTATATATTTCCCAAACCCCCTAGGGAGGCAAGATATTACCTAGAAAGCATTAGGATGCAAGGAAATCTCTATATAGACTACTATTGCCGCGATACCAAGTTGTAATTTATCGCATTTACTATGTGTTTTGGGGGTGGCCGGCTGGCTTACATGACCAGCTCGCTTACTGAATACGTAGATGATTTGGGCAATATGGGGTACAGCTTTAGATCTGGAGTCATGCTGGGAGTGGAAAACAGACTATAATGTGGGGAGACGGGATGCAGGTACCCTGTCCAACGGTGCGCCGATTGGCTCATGCCTAATCAGGTCTCTTATGGACCCATGGACCCGTAGACCCGGGGTCAAGGTAGCCGCCCATCGGATAACAGGCATGTTACAAGTTGGGCTTTTACCCGGCAGAAAACCAGCCCGTCTCAACCAATATAGTTCAATTCAACTTGTACCATATGCAGGATATTATCTCTTTTCAAATGAGCGCCAGGATGGAGGCCCCGTGGAATATCAATTCATGATATTGATCTCAGTGAGCGAGCTTACAGGCTAGTATGTGAGACCATGTGTAGAACATGGGACAATATGTCCAAGTTAGATGAAATTTCATACGGAGAGCAATGTTGTGGAAAGAAATATAGCGTATCTAACTATTAGACCACAACACAAACTAAGGTTCTCGTATAGTGCCTGTGTGGAGGCCCCATATCTGATATTTTACAATGGCCTGACCCATCTTGCTCCTGCCATCCTGTTGATTCAGCCCCTTGTATCACATTATGGTAAATAGTTAACGTGTCGAGCCTAGATGGTGATTATATAATCATAGAAGCCCTTTCCCCAGAATCTCGATCTTTAATCAAGGTTCCAATGAAATTCCTACGCCGTCGAGCGCTTTCCAAGCCAAATAAATATTCCTAGATACCAACATTTTAATTTAGGTTATGCTGCACGATTTTCTTCTTCTACCCAGTCAAGGGGTGTCAAGCCAATTGCGACAAGATGCTAGATGGATGTTGCTCATATGGCCCGCGAAACGCGCAATTGCGGCAGTGATGTCGTGATTCACGGACGGCCCCACCCGCGTGGTGTAAACCACCCAGCACTTTCATGTCATTATCATTAGAAACAGTGTACGGCGTTTGGCACAATAGAGCATCGAGAGCAGTGCACGTTAAGTGGGCGATTTGAAGCACCCGAGTTGTCAAGACACGCGCCGAGAGTTTACGTTTGACTTGCATGTTAAAATTAAGTATTTTATAGCACAGAAACAACTCCCATGGAGCTTAGCTTAAATCTTATCTCCCCACTTTTTGTCCATAGAACCTTCCCTGTTAGGCGTGGGCCGTAGCTTCGATTATTATTGTGCAATTATCCACCTGAGCCGTCCCGTCAGTATGGCGCGAATCCCTTTAAAGCTCTGCCTATTCCTGTCTTTTCTTTCGTCTTCATCCTGTCGAAATTAAAAAATCCAGCAAACAGAATGGACTTGCGAAAAGAAGTTGACGCAGATGTATCGCCTGCGATCTCATCAACCACCTCGTCAGAACGGGATGAAAACTATGAGTTTTATAAACAACATCAAGGTCTAGAATATACTGCAGAGGAAGCCAAACGGGTTCTGCGCAAGATCGATATACGACTCATTCCATTGCTGTTCTTAATTTACATGCTGCAGGTGAGAGAATATTGCATTTCTGCCTTGCAATCCAAGTACTAATCCCATGCAGTACCTGGACAAGAATAGCATCAACTTTGCCTCTGTCTATGGCTTAAAGCAAGGAACACACTTAAAGGGACAACAATATTCATGGCTCAGTAAGTTTTCAGTTCTGAGAACTTCTACTCCAAGTCACTAATTCCATCAGGCTCCATTTTCTACTTCGGATACCTCATTGCGCAATGGCCTGCGGGACTAGCATTGCAAAAGCTGCCCGTCGGCAAATTCCTTTCCATCACCACATTAAGTAAGAGATACCCTATAAGAACCAGGAATGTTTCTTCAATGCCAGAACCATGCTAATACAAATAGTATGGGGTGGCTTGCTCATGACAACACCTGCGTGTTACAACTTTGCTGGAATCGCAATCAACCGCTTCCTTTTAGGAATGGTCGAAGCAGTTGTAACTCCCGGATTTGTTCTTATGACCGGAATGTGGTACACATCTGAAGAACAACCCCTGCGACTAGAGGCATGGTACTGCACTAACGGTATCGCGACGATGTTCGGAGGGTAAGTGAAGAGCAAATACTCAAACTCTGATCAGATTGTGAATAAAGTTGGAAAACTAATAGAATATAGTCTTATTGGATATGCGGTCGGCCACATCACTACTGGACTTCCACGATGGATGTACGTTTTCCTCATTTTTGGAGCCTTCTCCGTCGCAGTAGGAGCTATTGCCCTGGTATTCCTCCCGGATCTTCCGTCAACTGCGAAATTTCTCAGCGAGCGTGAGCGAGCGATAGCTGTTGAACGTGTTGCCATCAACCGCCAAGGTGTCAAGAGTAGTCAATTCAAATGGTATCAGGTTCGACAAGCAGCCGAAGATCCAAAGACTTGGCTTTTGTTTGTCATGGCTATTGGTGCACAAGTCCCGAACTCCGCATTAACTAGTGTATGTTTTCCTATGATTGGGACTTGGATGCGAGCAAAGCTAATAACTAAACAGTTTACCTCCATTATCGTGGGTACTTTCGGATTTGATACACTCGGAACTCAATATCTGCAAATCCCCGGCGGTGCCGTTCAGTTCCTCACTCTAATTTTCGGGGGTTATATCGCAACCAAGTTCGATGGTAAATTTCATTCACGATTTGCATGCATGATTTTCGCTTGCACTGTCTGTATCATTGGATCGGGCCTTCTTGTCGGACTACCGAACACCAACAAATGGGGCCGCCTTGTTGCACTTTGGCTATGTTATTTCCAAGGCTTGGGATTCAGCATGAGTTTGACAGTCGTCAGCTCGAACATTGCTGGATACACTAAGAAGCAAGTCACCGGTGCTCTGCTGTTCACTGGATACTGCGTGGGAAATATCATTGGACCTCAGACTTTCAAATCTAGCGAGGCCCCTGGGTACCACAGCGCTTACATTGCGTATGTTGCTCTTTATCCTTAAGTACAATGTTCAACATCTCACTGATGATCCTTATAGGATGCTCGCTGGCTATTCAGTAAAGCTGGTTTCTATTGTCGCTTTGTATATTTATATGTACCTTGAGAACAAGCGCCGAGACCGCGAAGCAATCGATGGCCAGGAGGTTGAGGCAGAAGGTGTTGAAAATGGCATGCTGGTGAGTGTCGAGTTCCATGAAACTTTACGATAAACTAACTTGTATGTTTCAAGGACAAAACGGAGATCGATAACAAAGGGTTTAGATATGTCCTGTAAACATAATGTTTATATGACCCAGCTAGCCACTCGCTTGATAAATGAGCCGGCCCAGAAGCAAAGTTTGAATGTTATGTTCGTGACTACTCACAGTGCACTTTTTATGCAAGCTCCTGTTAAGGAATTTGTCTCTTAAGCGAATTGATTCTTAGCTACTGTACGCCAACAGATTAGCCGGGTAGGCCAACACGAGCAAGACGGCGTTTAACTAACGTCTTATAATATCTCTGCGATATTCCAATACGGGAGCAAACATGGAGCGATGGAAACAGATTTCACATTAAACTTATGTAACTCTACGCCAGAAGATTGTCTAGCGGCAATGAAATGGGCATCGGGTGGAACCATAACACCTATTTACGACACATACAGCGATCTCTCATCCCAGCTTACCTTCCGGGCGAGCTCCTTCGCGTTTTAAACATTAATCGTCATGCTTAGCTAGGTCGGAGACCCAAATATGTTCCTAAGTGTGCAGATCTATATGGCATTTATGTGGTGTCTCACACTTAACCCAGCTGTTATATAACGATTAGAATCTCTAGTTCCGTGGTCACTCCTCGCGATATATCTGAACAGCTTATTTAGTCCCGACACTATCTTTTCGAAGATTAAAGACGAATCATTCCCGCTTATTAACGGCTTAGCTACATAACAGCTACCGGAGGACTTTTTAATCAGAGGGCAGGAATGGGGCCGGCTTTACTACCTAGATAGATTCTCCGACGGAGCTAGAGAAGATAACAGACTATTAATAGAAGATCATTCGACAGTGATTTCTAGAATTCTTTAGCTTAGAGTGCGGATTATAACTGTGTGTTTTCCTTTTAGATAAGCTACATATATGAAATTTTTAATTAACTATTTAACTTAGACTAGTACACCCGCTGGATAACTCATGACCCGGCACGACGGTTCATACCCACAAAACTGGTAGGTAAATTAGCGATAATAGCAGAATCCCCTGCTTACCTCGATAGAAGGCCTCCCCTAATGGGAACTGAGATAACACCCCCTAACCGGAAGATGTAGTAGTTTTAAGAACATGGTTGGATGACTGTTTGGACTTACACGTTTTGTAGTCTGCGCGTCTTGACGGAGAACCTTTCAGGGCTAGTGGAAATTCCCGAGTTTCTTTCTTTCTTAATCGAATCAGCACCTAAATCTTCTTCGGCGTAAATCAATCTTTTAATCCTAATAATTCTAGCTGATCCGAATGCCCTGCGGCTTTAGGTAACTTAATAGTGACTAGGGCAAATCTCTCGATTACATTGGATTACTGGACATCTCCCTTCCACTAGACATTCTTGGCTATCACTGGCTGTTCTCTTGATGAAGACTGGTAGTATCGTAAGATCCTTCTTAGGTTCAAACCGCTTCATGGATTCCATTCTCATACCAGCCTTAATACAGTTCTTTTCAACCTCCTTCAGCAACATAAGATCATAGAGCTAGTGCTTGCAATTACTACGGATAATGCGTTAAATAATCAAATGTTTATGTCAACCATTCAGGAATCAGTGCGGTCACTAGGTGTTTCCGAGAACGCGACTATTGTTCGGACTCCACTCCACGTATTGCTCATGTGATTCAACTCAGCCTCAACCAACTCCTAGGCAAGATGAAGGCCATTCCTATAAATAAAACGACGCATACAGTCTGGTCGAAAGCTCAGTCTTGGTTAGTTCGACTGGATGTAAGAAAGCAAAAGCGAGAGGTTATTCACCCCTTGAATAAGGTAGGATATTGATCATCGTTTTCTTTTTACCTTTTTCTCTTAAGTTAACTCTTTTCTAGATCCGAAAGGTAGCTATCTACATTAATATGAGCCCACAGCGCCGCGAGACATTCTGCAATCTCCAAACTGAATATCTAAAGCTTGTGCTAATTCAAGACGTCCGAACGCGCTGGAATTCAGCCTTTCTGGTTCCACTACGGGCTAGGTGACTGCAGTCCACCTCCAATCGATTTTACTGTGAATATAAACTTACAGATCTAATGATTTATCAGGAGGAATGGCGCCAGATTCGCTACCTCCTTTAGATCACTCAACCCTTCTTCAAATTTACGACTGCTCTCTCGAAGATAAAGGATGTCACGATTCATCTTGATGGCTCGATTGCAAAGTCTTTGTCTCCTCCTCAAAACGAATCTTGTGTCGCTCTGTGTGGGTTTTGCAGAATTTCAAAATATCGAAAGATTCACAAGTCCTTGGTGAAATACTGTTAATAAATGAAATGAAGATGTGTGGGTCATCCTCCAGAATTTTTAAATCAGCCTTTTGTACTTTGCCATCCTGGTATTTTGACCTCAGATCGCGAGGCCCTCGACCTCCTTTCCTGGGTTGCTTATGATCTAGTTAACGTATTTCACATGCGAGTGACGCAGTCCGATGTAAATAGGATAAATTACAACTTGATATCTCAAAGACCGTGGTATATTAGGGTGTTTCCTTATATGATAATGAGTTTCACGTAATATCTGGCCTTACTGTAGAGTTTAGAGAATTTTTATAACCTGGTGATGAACATATATATATTCCTAGCCTAGAGCGATATAATTTTCGAGACCATGATATTGCAACCTTTTAATTGTCTTAAAATTGATATATATCATTCAAACCCCTTATCAACAGCTATCAAGTTAATATGGAATCAACCAAGGGCGTTGTTGCTGAGATAGAAGGTTGTAACTTATCCCATTTACTATGTATATCGGACTGCGTCACATAAGAAGTCTGTCTAACAAAGCCTTTTCCTGCCTTCTTTTGCCGTCGATATATAAAACTGATAAGACAGAACGATATCTGAAGAGTACTAAGGATACCAATCGAGAGCCCACTGAAAAGACAGCACAAGGCCGCTATTCTTGTTATTAATACTCTGTAACGTTCACCACTCCTGGGTCTATACTACCGATACGCTCATCGAGAAGATTTCGTATATAGAGTTATACTCAAGAATTAAGTGTAATTTCCCGGTAGTTGTCCGTTTATCTTCTTCAAGTCGAGCTATGATATCAATTTGAATCTTCCCTCAGCACTATAATTGTATTCAACATATATCAAACTTTGCAAGAACGCAAAGCTCGATAGAATAAAGCCGCACTATGCTGGCTACTGTCCATCCCAACTGCTCAAAGACACAAATCACCAATCCAAAGTTCTGTTCGACATCGGCGCACTTTTGCCAGTTGATTTGCCCATCGCCTGCCCGGTATTTGCGCTGGCAATCTTTCTGAAGACAGATGCGCCAAAGCGATTATACAGCGGGAGCACTCCGCCAGCTTCAACAAGTGTTTTTTCTATCTCTGACTGTTGATAGTAGAACACTTGATCGGTACCGTCAATCTGCACTGTTCGGGATTGTCGGTCAATGACGACAGCAGACCCCTCATTTGCAAGTGTGTAGAATTCGGGATCCGGTAAGGTGATGTTGAACAGACCCATGTTGAGCCGGTTCCGGTCATCTGCATTCTCTTTTCAGACTCTGGCTAACAACTTGGGTGGGTTTTACGACTGTCGCCACTTACAGATAAACGCAAAGCTAGGCGCAATCACTGCTTCTATGCCCGCTCCTTGCAACGCTCTGACTGCATCCTCGCGGGACGAACCACTGCCGAACCCACGATTTGCGACGCTGTGACTGGTCAGTATCTTGACTTTAAGGGTTGTTAATGGGTTCAATTACATGATCGTTGACCCCTCTGTCGCTCGTTTTCGGAACTCAGGACGATCATACTCGAAACAGTGACTTCCAAGTTCTGCATTGTCGATACCAGGTACAAACTCAGCCGGAATGATCGCGTCACTGATATGTAGGTTGTCAGAAACGGCATCGGAAATAAATGTTGATAGACTCACGTATCCACATTTTCACCGAATCTTTGAACCTTCGACCGAATGACTCCGTCACTAGAGATTCTCGCCACATCCAGAGTAGGAGCAGAAGCCTGAATGGGAAGACTACTACTGGCGTCGATGGAGGCGATATTTGATGCAAGTAGCGGGTTAGGCTCGCTGATCTCGGGGGAAATACTCAACGAGACTCCCTCTCTTCCCAGAATCTTGGCCAATTTTGCTCTATCGATTTGACCCAGCAGTATCTGTGGGTCTGTGACTACCATGTTGAAGCTTGAGGCAGCAACCACCGCGGCACATGTGATACTACCAATGGCTCCTTTTCCCATTCGATTCCGAAAGTTGCGATTTTGTGAGGAGAGCCAAATCTCTCCTTCACCCGCTACATCAACATCGTTGATTCCAACGCAGTAGGAACAGCCTGGGGCACCGATATCAAATCCTGCCTGTCGGTAAATGTCCAAGATACCGTGCCGCTCCAGGTTCTTGATAATGCTGAGACTTCCAGGTGTAACTCTTCTCTGCCCGTCACTGGGCACCATGCCCGCTCGCAGCCCAGCTTCTAGAACCAGTCCTCCTACAATTAGATCCTCTTCGGTGGTAGTACAGGCTCCAATGAAACATCCATCCAGCTTGGTGCCAACTTTCTCAGATACGGCCACAACATTATCCGGCTCGGGGTACAAAGCGATGGTCGTTTCAACCTCCGAGAGATTGACAGTGCGCACCTCAGCATACTGGGCACCTGAATCGGCTCGGAAATAGAGGCCCCCTTGATGTTCTAAATGCGATCTGTTCGAGATCCATTCGGCGGTGCTTTCGTCAGCTTCAAAACACGCACCCATCCCGCCAAATTCAGTCGTCATGTTTGCAATGGCGAACCTGGCATCCATGGATAACTCCTTCAAACTCGGGCCGCCGTATTCAACCGCACGCTGGAAGGCGATCGTGTTTCGTTTGAAAAGGCCGAGTATGTGAAGAATCACGTCTTTACCACCCACCCCAAAAGGCAACTGACCAGTGAAGTTGATGCGACAGATTTCCGGCACACGGAACCAGGTCTCTCCCGTTACCATCGGCATGACGACATCTGCAGCTCCAAGGCCAACGGCTAGTCCTCCCACGCAACCGGCAGAGCAGG